CTATCAGCACCTGTCACAGTGGTTTCCATCTCCAGGGGTGCCCTGGTGCCATCCCCTGCCTGCAGCGACCAGTGCATGGGGTGCTTGACCCCCCAGCGCTCACTCCTTGGGGCCCCGGCACCGCTGGGCTCCCCCGATGCCTCCCAGGCAGGGGATGGGCCTGGCCACTGCTGTCCCCAGGCAGGGCTGTGCAAGGGGTCCCCACCTAAGGACAGCCCTGCTGGCAGCACCTCCTGGGCTTTGGCAGGGACTCCAGTGGCCAGGAGCATCCCCCAGGTGACGAGCTGTGCTGCAGCCATGGTGAGTACCGAGTCGAGCCTGTGGGAATGGGGACGTGGTGAGCCAGGATCCACGGCAGATGCCAGGTAACTTGTGCAGATGGCCGTGATGCTGCTGTGCCCATGGCCACCCACTGCCCAGGGAGGGAGACAGTGGCTTGGCTGTCCCTTCCCGGGTAGCCCTGGGCTCTGTTCCCAGCTGTGCCCGTCCCCAGTGGCCCCATTCCCAGTCTTCCCTTTCCCAGTGTCCCCTGGTGTTCCCCATCCCGGTGTCTCCGGTGTGGGTGGTCTTTGGTGCTTAGTGGCCCCAACCCCCAACATCCACGGTGTCCCTTTCCTAATGCCCCATCCTTAATGTCCCCTCCCCGGTGCTCAGTCCTGGCGTCCCTCTCGGTGTCCCCTCCCCGGTTCTCCATGCCCAGTGTCCTCGCCCGATGTCCCCGCCGCCGGCGGCCCCGCTCCGCCGCGCACCGTTCACCTTGGCGCGTCCCGGCCGCATCCCGGCGGGGATGCTCGGCCCGGAGCCCCGCGCTGCCGCCGCACACACGGCTCAGACCCGCCGGGCCGGGAACGGGGCCGGGACCGCCAGGGTGCTGCGGCGGCGGCCCCGCGGCGCGGTGCGGATTACCGGCGGGGCTGCGCAGCGAAGTAGGGCCGCGGCCGGTGCGGGACCACAGCCGGTGCGGGACCACAACGGGGCCGGTGCGGCCGCCGCATCCCGCCGACCCCACCCGCAGCGCGCCGGGCCGGCTCCACCGCTCGGTGCCCGGTGCGCGGGCCGCGGTGCCGCCAGCCCCCTCCCGCCGCCCGCCGCAGCACTGGCGGCCCCAGAACTGGTGCCCCGGGAGCCGCAGCTCCCCGCGCTGACCTGCCGGTGCCGGTGCCGGTGCGGGCGGGCCGGGCTCTGCGGCGGAGCGGGCGGCGGCGGCAGCGGCAGCCGGTCACGCGCCGCCCCGAGCCGCGGGCACCCGCACGGGAGCCCGCCCGCACCGGGAGGGGGGGCGCGGGGCACGGCCGGGGCCGCCGCCGGGACGGGATCCGCAGGGCCGGCCAGGGGGGCGAGCGGGTTCGTGCGGCTCAGCTCAGTCCGGGGCAGGTTCGGGTGGACTCCCGGGGACGGGTTCTCCGTGGCGCAGCCCCTCCGGGACGTGGATTCCGGAGGGGCACCAGGGCAGGTTCCCGGGGGTCAGGACGCGGCGGAGGGGGGGATGCTGCCCGCGGGGCAGGCAGGGCTGCCCGGCCGAGGCTGGTCCCGCGGCCGCCAAGGGTAGGCGGAGGGAGGGGGCAGTCGGACCCACTAGCAGGGTCCTGAGGAAGGTCTGAGGGGGCCCTGCCCCACACTTGTCTCTCAAACGCTCAGCATGGATATGCAGTACCCTGGCAGCCACTGGGATGTGGGACCCTGCCAAGGTTCAGGTAATTAGTTAATCTGCTTAATTGTCCGGCTGGAAAACTGCCCACCCTGCCCGGGCTTGAGCTGGCAATGGTCAAGTGTCAAAAAGTCGCATCAGCTCAGGACTCCATCCTGCAGGGTGACACCTGCACTCCAGCTCCCTGCCTGCACCCCTGCTCCTCCCTGCCTGCACCTCAGCAGTGCCTGAGCCACCAAAGCCTTGGCAAAGTCCTGTCATCACCATTGCTCTTCTCTCACCAGGCCAGCAAGTACATGTGGGACCTCAGGTCCCCATGAGAGCACCGGTGTGCTGGCAGTAGCACACAGTGCCCCATTCCTGCTCCCTGCCACCTCTCCATTCCCGGGGCACTGTGTTCACCAGTAGCACATGAAGCATTTCTGGTCCCTGATCCCCTCCTCTGTGGGGTCAGGAGGCTGTGGCAGCCAGCTCAGCACAGGGTCTGGGAATTTGGGCAATTTGGGCACACTGGGCCCCAGAAGGCAGGCAGGGTAGGCAGCTGGTCAGGGAATTAGTGCTGGGGAGGCCGCACAGAGGAAGAGTGCAGGTGATCCTGCCCTGCACCATGCACTGCCAGCACTGGGCACCACTGCAGCTGGATGGTCTCATCCTGAGGAAGGTGCAGCTGCAGTGCTGAGTGTGCAGTGGGACTGTGGGAAGGGAGCTGGCTGTGCACTGTATGCCACAGTCATTGGAGCACCTTCAGCACCAGGCAGGGGCACAGCAGCCACCTCCACATCCTCGGTGCTGTCAGAGGTTTCCTCCTCTGCCAAGTGACTCACTGGCAGATGAAAAGCTGAGCCCCCTGCTCTGTGCTGCTGCAGCAGCCACGTGCCTGCTGCCTGCACAGCTGGGGATGCTGGGTGGAGGATGCACCATCCAGTTCTCTCAACCCCTGTGCCCATGGCCACCTGGGTGTCACAGGCTTTTGATCACTGTTCTTCCCTTTCTCCTGGGTTCGCCCCCAAGAAAGGTCCAAAACTCGAGTTTCAGAGAAAATGGCCCCAATTAAATGCCTTCAGACAGACTGGAACCCAGCTTTGCTTTTTTTATGGCCATTGTTTGTGTTTTATGGTTCTGCCCTGGGCTCTCCACAGTTCTTCTTGGCCATGATGCAGGAGGAACCACCCTGGCACCTTCCCTGGCTGAAGGATGGGACAAGACCCTTATAAACACTGGTTACTGGCAGCTCTGTGGACACAAAGGCCAGGAGAAATCACACATACCTGGGGCATGGCTGATCCAGCAAGGAGCCAGTGACAGTGAGGTGGGAGTACAGGCTGGGAGGCAGGACCAGCTCCACCAGGGTGCAAGCAGAGTATCTGGGAAATCTGCTGCCATGCAGCATGCACTCTTCCATTTTTGTCCAGCAAGGCTGGGAGAGGAGCTGCCATCCTCACAGCCGTATTGGGACAAATGCCCTTGTTGGCAGCTAAAGCCCTGGAGGAGACCCTGAGTGGGAATAGACAGGGGGACTGTGGGGGCCAGGGTGGCATGCTGGGGCTTCATCCCATTCACCAGGACGTTGTCTTGTGCAAGGGGAGGCATTGCTGGCTGCTCTGGCTGTTACACCTCCATCTCCAGGGATTTTGTTTTGCACTGTGTTCCAGTGTGTGTGTGGCAAGGAGCTGCAGGGTCCCCAGGGCAGCCCTGCACTGCACCCCACGGCACTGATGCTCCATCTCGGCGTGCCAAAGAGACAGTCCCTGCTCTGCCTCTGCACAGGGGCTTACAGCAGACACCTCCAGAGGTCTCTCCAAGCTCAGCCATGTGCTGCCGAGCTCCCTGCATCCACACCGGGGCTGCACAGAGACCTGCGCCGGTCCTTGCTAATTCCAAAGCGCACGGAGTGGCAAGCCCACCAAACAGGTTTTGCCCAGCATGCTGGGGCTGCCAGGGGGGCGGGTACACAAGGGCAATGTAAACAAACAGCCACTCCTGCTGGCAGCCATCACCAACCCCCTTCACTGACAGGGGGGTCCCAAGGTTCTGGGGGATCCCCATATCTAACTATCCCACCACCCCCGCAGCTTCTCCTTGTTAATTAATATCACTGGACCAATGATAAGCTGGAAGGGTGAAGGTTTCCGTCTTTAAACACCAGAGAGGAGCTAAAAAAAGAATCCTCCCAATTCCAGGATCCAGGGGAGTTAAACAGCTAAAGAACAGCTGCCTGTTCTCCTGCTGGAACAGGACTCTGCCTCTCCACCCCCCCCCCCCCCCCCCCCCAAAACAAAACCACCAAAAAAACCCAAAAAAAAACCCCAAAAGCAAAAACCCCAACATAGAGACACTGGGCTCTGGTGAAGATGAGTTTATTAAAGCCAGAAGAAAGGGATCACAGCCATTTCCTTTGGTATGGCAAAGCCGGATAATTTGAATTTGTGGCATTCTGGTTTTCTGGTTTTGTTAACACCAAAATGTTTCTTTTGCTAGTAACATTTCAGATCAAAAATCAAAGGTGATACCAATGCCCCAAGCAGTGGGAGCTGCCCACAGTTGGGCACCCTGAAGAGAGTTGCTCTGTGGGAATTGGGACTGTGCAGACCTCTCATCTGCTGGATCTGCCTGTTGTATCTTTGGTTTCTGAGAACTGCTGGCCTTGAAAAGGGTATGTTGGAGAATTCCTTAATCAGCCAAGAGATACAAAAGACAAATTAAGTAGAAACAAAATAACTTCCTGGAATCTCTGAAACTGAGGAATTTCAGCCTGTAAGGAGAAGAGATACAATAGTGGACGAACCTGAGACCCTGGGGTTTGGTTTTCCTCAGTTAAACCTCTCCCTGCCCAAAGTTCACAAACAACTCCTGAGACAAATCTGGACCTGATCAAAATCAATCAGAACAACACTACTCTAAAAACCTGAACTTTAACATAACAAACCAACAGAGATACTACGAGTGAGAAACAGAGTGAAGCCTCGGGCCACAGAGATAGCATTGTATCAATCTAGCTGTGGAATTTCCAGTAGACCTCAGTGCCAAATCTGACTGAGCTGACAGTCTGCTCTGCCAGCCCTCTCCTCCCTGGGAATGTCAGGTACTCACTGCTGTGTAAATGCTATGGTAACTCAAGCCCATGACATTTCTGCTGGGAGCAGGGAAGTAAAGCAGTACAGACCCCTTCAGCTTTCCAAGCCAGGGGAGAGCCCTGCTTAGACCCTTACAATATCTCCAACTGGGCAATAGCACTTTCAAGCATGCAGGCCTGAGTCTTGCTTCTGACTATGCAAGTAACACACCTAGAGGAATAAACTGCAACTGAAATGGTCATCCAGCTCTAAGGGCTCTGAGCATGAAACAAGCCCCTTCAATCAGAAGAATCACAATCTAACAGTAAAGAGCAACAAGCTGTTTTCTGCTGAGCCAGTGGATTGACAGGATGTGGTTTCTTGGAGCTTGAGGGGCTTTGGAGGCTAAGGTAGCTCATTTGCTTTACACCTGTTGTGCTACACAGGGAAAGTACATCCTCCTCGGGGGAGGAATCCAAGAGATACCTTTTTACACTGGAAGCATTAATTGTTTTTTTAATTTCAAGACTTCTCTTTCTTCTGCTTTCAGGTTGTTGCAGGCTTTTATCAGAGTGTGGCACTGGTGTGAAATTCTTTGTAAGCCCCATCTGAGCACTGCCGAGGATCTGCTGATGGGGAGCTGCAAAAACCAGGTCAGAGTTTTCTGAATTGAGATCAACCAAGTAGCTGTGAAGGGTATTTTTTCTGGAGCTTTCCAAGTCAATAATCCCAGTTGCCTTCCTCTGCTTCAGCCCACTGTCAGCACATTCAGAGCGTTCGCCTTTCCCCTTATTGGAGTACGTTGTCTTTCTCCTTATTGCTTTTTTCCAGGACATCCTTCCTGGACTCAGTTTTGTTTTGTTCCCTACAGCTGCCTTCTCCACCTCATGGTTTGTGGACCAGCTGCTGTGTCTTTGCCCAGGTGTAGCTTTCTGTGTAGAATGGTGGTAAGCTTGAGGCTGCTGCTGCTGTGATAGTGTCAGGGGTTTAAACCCTCGAGTGCCTCTCCTGAACGCCTTCCTCAGGGGGGTTGGTAGAGGCCCTTCCAGTGGTACAGGACACTGTTTCTTCTGACTACTCTCCACAAAGTGTCCGCCAGCCCAGCACATGCAAGGATGTGCAGCACAGCTCTGTGTCTCCAAGCTGCATTTCACCTCCTGCAAAAAGGTGTTTGCTCTGCCACAGGCTGCTGTAGCAATGGGGCTGGCTTTGTCTTCTGAGGCTGGGTTTAGGTCACCCTTAGATGTGCCATCTCCAGTGACCTGGTTCCTTCCAGGGGAGGCTCTGTGTTGCTGTCCCACTGTCACACAGGGGAAATGAGACCAGCCTGAACAGCTGCAAACACCCCTGCCAGGGCAGCATGGTTTGTGCAGGTACTCCTCACTCAGGACACAGTGCTGGCACAGCCCAGGGGAGGTCTGGAAAGATTTATCTGTCGTGTGAAGGGGCAGGCTGGCACTAGACAAAAGCATGTGCTGCTCAGCTGAGGAATTACACGGCTTCAGGAAGCCAAGTTCTTTGCACGTTTTCAGGAACTGGTCATTTAGCTGAGCTGGCAGTGACTCCAGACCCTCCTTTAGCAGCTGCATACTGGATTTCATATCCAAAATCTCAGCATCTTTCTGGGGAAGCAGAAAGCAGAGCAGAAGCAGTAAAAAACACAAAAAGGCACAATAGTAAGGAAATTTTAGGTACTATGTGTCAGTTTGGTATTGACCCAAAGATTAGCAATTTGCATCTTCTTGTGTAATAGATATCCTCAAACTCTCCCACAAAGGCGAGAGGTCTGGGACTGGAGCATCCCCCTAACCCAGTGTGTGCCCCCTCTCCTAGGAGCACTGCCTTCTCATGTGCTGGTGTGACACATCCTTGCCAAAAGCAATTCCTGCAGCAGGGCCTTTGGAGAAACCAGCCCTGATCAGGAGGTCTCTGACAGTTCATTCTTGTGTTGCTCACATCCACTTGTTTTCTTTTCACATCTTTTTTCCTCTCCCTGTGACACACCTGGCTGAAAGGACAAGGTGCTGAAGGGATGAGGTGCTCTCCCCTCACAGTCTCTGCACCATGTCTCCAGCAAAGGCATGTGTCAGGTGAGGAAGCAGTGAGTGCTCCATCACAGCCTGCCACAACAAGGCACTGTTGGCTTCTTCTCTTACCGACCAGGGCTTTGTCAAAGCTTACAGGGCTGTTAGCCAGTGCTTGGGTGAGCCTCTGTCAGTATCTGGCCTAGAATTAGCTTTTTAATGTCTTTCCCCTTTCATTATAACAGGAGCAGTCTGCTTTATAATCCACCATTCGAAGGCAATTTAATATTCAGTCAGTATTTTGAAGAAGCAGGAGAAATTCAGAATGAGGATTCAGAATAAAAGATTAATTTCTTCACTTACGGCTGCAAGTCTCCTCTCCATCTCCAGCAGTGCCTGCTCCATTTGGCTTTTTTCTGTCAAAGCTTTTAGCACCAAGCTGCAGTGACTTTGAAGAGCATCTTCCACTAAATAGGGAAATCAATAAAAACCACATTTGGTCTTTCATTTGTAAATGTGAATAAAGTGCTATCAGTACTATTGCTACTCTCTGCATGGCTTGGCATGAATCACCACATGATTCTCCTGCTGTGATCTCCCCAAACCCCGAGCAATGAACAATGGGGTGGATTTTTAATGGAAGACACTTGACATTTATAAGATGCTGCACATAGTCCAAACCTCATTTACTGCCCTCTCTTAATGTGGCAGCTGGAGAAGAGAGGCTGTGCAAAGCTGCAGAATTTGGTAGGCTGAATGCAGGGAAGGCTGAGGCTTGGTTGTCTGCCAGGTGCACAACAGGCATGGCCAAGGCAGGGGGACCCCAGCATAGCTGATCCACCTCTGTATAAACAACACTCTCATGCAACCAGGTGATGGGAAATGGGGCTTGAACTGGATGGAGGTGTAAGAGGTTAATGGCTAAGAAGTGCAACCAGAGAAAACTGTGTCACAAATGCACTGGAGGCTGACAACTGAAGGAAAACTGCTAGAAGGAATAGAGAGAAATTATGAAGGACTGTGAAAAGAATTGGAATTTCCATTTGCTGGTCATAGGAAGAGATGGGGTCAGAAATCACCTGAACCAGGCAGCTGTGCCCAGCACTTAGTAGTGGGGGCCCCAGCAGAGTCCTGTGGAGGTACAGGTTCCCTGGGAGGGTTTTAAATTCGAGTAAGTTGCTCTTGGCTTCATCAGTCTTTTTGAAAAACTGATAAAACCCCGGGGATTTGTGTTATATGATTGTATAACAATATAACTCCCCCCATACAGCTTCAATTACTCTTATAGGAGCCACTGCTGTGCCTAATACACTATGGGGTAGGAACACAGTTTGCATTGTGTGTGGAGATGAAAAATCTTTAGCAATCTTGTGGAAGTCTACTTTAAATTTGTAAATTAGGACAGAGAGAAAGAGCTGAGAAAGAGCAGAGAGAAAGAGCTAAACATGTCTGTTCTTTCCTGTGAAGGGTGCAGGAAGGTGTGTACAGATGGTGTGGAATGTTGGCTGATTGGCACAGAACAGCATCCAAAGCACTCTTGCTAAGGTAAAGCACTGCCAAACCAATGGGCCAAGATAACTGAAACCCTGGAGTGCTGGAGCACTGCATACCTGAGAAAAATCAGAATAAAGCCTACATTTCAACAAGCTGCTACAAGAGCTCTGCAATTAATTAATCTTCTTTTGCTACAGATCCAAGGTGTTTGATTGACTTTGGTGTTAGAGGAGCTGAGAGCCCATCTGAAGCTGTTCCTGCTCACCAGTGTTTATCTCAGCTCCTCGCTGAGCACCTCTTGCCCCACAGTGCTGTGCTCAAAGGCTGCAGAGCTGCAGGGCACTGGGGATCCCTTCTCCTCCTGCTCAGCTCTTTTCATTAAGCTTCCAGGGACTTAATTATCTCAGTGAGCTGTGGCCTTCTGTCAAACTGTAGATGGAATTGGTTAAAGAGCTAATAACTATTAGGGAGCGGCAGGCAGAAAGTGATTGTATATGCTTTACTTCTGAAAAAACAGGGATGTTTTTGAAATTTTGTGCAGAAAGAAAGGAAAAAAATCTGAGCAATTATGGGCTTAGTAATTTGTTCTCATATGGTGCAATGTTTTAGAACAGACTTTGAGGAGAAAAGTACTCAAAGATAAGAAGGGAAATAGAATAAGAATAAGATTTTATAAAAGGTGGATTGTGATTTAATGCTCTAAGACAATGCAGGTGACTTCTTTGTCAAAGACAACATAGTGGCCTTTCTGTAGATTCAAACAAAGCTTTTCACTGGAAGTTGTCATGTAATATAAAAAAAAAGAGAAAAAATAAGGGGAAGCTTAAAAAGTAAGCCTCAACTAAAGGGAAAACATCAGCTCTTGAGCTGAGTGGCATGAGGGGACAAGGCAGCTCCGACAGGTGCTCATCAAGGCCTTCTCATGAGCCAAACAGGCTTAAAATCTGCTATAGTCACCTGGGTGCAAAAGCCAAAGGGCATTCAGTTAATTAGCAAGTGACACAAGGATGCAAATGCCAGCACCAGAGGCTACAGGTGACACTGGGCAGTGGGGTGAGTGGCAGTGCACCAGCTCTGGCTGACAGAACTGCTATGCTCCCCAGGATGTCTGGAAGCCCACACTCCTTCCCAGCTGTCTATGTGCAAGGAAAGAAAGAGACTGAGCTAGACATGGGCAGAGAAAAGCTGCAAGTTAATTAAGTGCTTACATGGTAATCTCCTCTTATGAAAGGAGATTGAAAGTGTTTGTCTCATTCAGCCACGCAAAGCTGAGGCGCGGGATGGCGCAGGGCTGGAGGTGCCGCTCAGGGATGGGCACAGGGAATGGCACCTCCTGGCACCAGGAATCCTCTGTGCCCTGCTGGGATTTTAACTTTGCCTCCTCCAAAGGAGCCCTGCTTGGGCACAATGCACACAGCTGTCATTTGGGAGACAGAGCCCTGCAGTTGCCTTATCTGTGCATCATCCTCACACACACTGAATTAAAACCACCTCCTAGACTTGAGCTCGAGGGGAATTTCTCCATTATTTCAGGATGCACATCACCACATGGCTTTGCCTTGTTCTCTGTAGGAGCTTGGCTGATTTCTGAGGATTATCTGCAGGTATTTCTAACAATATGCTGTTGTAGTCAGTTTGGTTGTTGTTTTTAATCTTTTAGTGTTTTGCTCTGACAGATTTAGACTGTTTTAGAAACCTGGAAATCTATAATTTGTAGAATGGGTTTGTAACGGGGGAGTGAATGTTTGAGTGGGCCTTTAAGACATTTCATCTCCCTGATTGGAAACAAAGGCTACCTGCAATCTGAGAGGAGGTTTTGGGGGAGCCTGCCAACCTACAAAGAGAAGGAAAACAGTAGTGACTAAAGGAAGAAACTCCTTTCATGTCACTTTATCACCTTCCATGTCTACATCAGGAAGATATAGGAAGGGCAGCATCTGCAAGCTTACCTTGCTGCTCTTCCCCATATGCTTAATTTTAGCTCAGAATTATTTTTGAAACTTTCTGGTTTCCCTAATCTATCTATTCTTCTTCAACATACTATCCTCAGTCTAAAAATAGTCCTGCATCCACTGGGCTTGTGATCTGCACATACATTTGACTCAGCACAGCGTGCTGCCGGCAAGCAAGCAGCAGCCAGCCTTTTGAACGTGTTTCGTTTATACGTGTAGGAGTATTCTGCAGAAAAAACCCTCAGTACAGAGGAGGGGCACTCTCCTTCCCTCCCTGCTTCCATACCCAGAGAAGTGTTCAGACTTGTCAAACACTCATAAACAAGGTAAAAATAAGTGTTAATAAAGGCTTACAAAAAAAATAGGCTTTGAGACAGCCAAATTAGATCAGATCAAGGACTCTGTTAAGTCTTTTTTCTTTGAATATGATCAAGAAGGTCTGGTTCAGAGGTTTTCTTCAAATAAACCCTGCAGCAGATAGTTATTGAATAACTTGATCACAGACAGGAAATCTTTACTCAGTTAATGGGTGACTTATGCACAGACTTGTGCCTCTCCCGAGGTAATTTAAACAAAGCAGTTTTTTACAATCTGAAACATTGCTTTGTTTTGATTTGCTGTACCCTTGTGTTCAGATGCTGCTGTTTACAATAACAACATTTGGAATATGAAATCTGGCATGAGATAAAAGGCTGAAGGACCTTGGGGTAGGGCTGCCACCCTGTGCTGCAGTTCCCTGCAAATCAGCCTGTGCCCAGGTGCAGCTGCACTCCCAGCAGTTGAAAACTACAGCCTGAGCAGCCAAGGGAGGGAGCACCAGCCTCCCAGCCTAGGAATATTAAACAGCAACTGCTTCTGATGTCTCTCTATCATCATCTATGCAGCTCATCCTGAGATTGGCACTAACAGCACAGCCACTTTAAATAACACTTTGGAAGGAGGTCGGTTCCCCCATGCCCAGATTCAGTAGGGGAAATTGGAGGTGCTATAAACCTGGTGAGACACGGGCAGGGAAGACAGCTCTGGAGCTCAGCAGAGCACTGCATGCTCTCCCTGGGCAGCCATGGAGCTGTGCCAGAGGGTGAGAGAGTTGGGCTGACATGGCTGCATCCTGCTCAGATACACTCCAAGCAGTCATCTGGCAGATTTGTGCTGCCTTAGCCTGGGTCCCGTTCCACAAGACATCGGAGAGCATCTGCATCAGGGGACCGTGGGATGAGCTGCCCCTGATCTCACCCTGTGCTACAGCACACACTGCTCCAAGCCCTGAATTGTGACAATGAGGGGTTCCAGTATCTACTGGAACATCCACACCTCCTCTCACCATCCATACTGAGCTGTTTTGGAGTCTGGTTAAGTCCCTCAACAGCTTTGTCAGTCACTGCATGGCTAGTTAGCAGCTACATGGAAAAAAAAAATTTAAATCAGTTTCAAACTTTTTGACTGTTTAATCCATACAGGACATAAGGGAGTCTGAATTGGGTGTCCCCGTCTGGACCATACCGTTCAAGGTAAACAAGCTCAAATCTCACCATTTTAAACACAGCCATGTCCCCTGGAAACTTTGCCAGCAGCTGCTGGGTCTGGGGAGTCTGGAAGCAAGTCATGTTTGAAAACTGCTCACTGGGCCCTGCATCTTGTCAGAGAACTGCATCACCTCATACCTCTGCAAGTGACATATTGCACATTACTTTGTCACCCTTGATGGCAGTGTGTCAGAGGATTGCCTGTGGCACTCAGGATGCTGCTCGTGTGCACTGCAGACAAGGTGTTGTGGAGGATTCAGCTGTTCTGAGCTGTCACAGCTGGAGCTACCAGATACAGAACAGCAAAGCAGCACAGAGAGAGCTGAGTGGTGAAAGTTGACATTTGTATAAAAGAATAGAAGGCTTTACTAGAAGTGTGGCTTTGAAAATTAAAATGTGAAAAATATGAAAAGAAACAAGCTACAGGAGTGGAAACCAGAAGGAAAGAGAAAATAATGAGTGGGCAAGTCAACCAGAGAAACCGTATGTGTATAAGGTGGAAGAACTGAGGCCACAGGGTCTGTCTGCCTCTTTGCCTCCCTGTGCACTGCACACTAAGATGTGAGCAAGGCACCTGTGCCTTGTGGAAGCTGCTCAGCCAAACCTTGTATCATCTCCAGGGCCAGACACAGCTCCATCCACTGTGTGCAAGCACATATGGACAAACACTCAAAAGAGAACATTTAAAAAAATCTTCCTGCACAGACCATGCCAGCCCAACAGCACTTGGAAATGCTTTGGAAATACATTTTGAAAAATATTTTCTGTTTTGCTCTTGCCTGGTGGCTGTGCAGACTATGCCAAATGTGCTTGCTACCCACTGCTAAAAATGCAACCTGAGATACTCCTTATAAGCTTTTAATGAAGACAGACTTGATTTCAAGTTCCACCTTCCTTTGCTTTTCAGAGCTGTTGCAATGTTCTGGTGCACTAGTTTTCTTCATCTTCTGCATTTCTCTCCTACCTGTGAAATCCTTCACTGCTAGTGATTTAACATATCTGTGCCATGTCACCCACATCCCAAGGTACTGTATCATCACTCACTGGCATTCAGAACTTTATTAGCTCTGAATTTAGCTCTTTCACCTGAGTTTTGGAATTTTATACCAGTTTTTCAAGGGAACTGCCTCTTTTCAAGGCACTAGCATGGGTATCTATTTAGTGGGAACTTAATTATCCATCACTGTGATATCAGTCAAATGACAGTGTTTATCTGCAATTAACCAGTGACAGATGAACCTCCCAGAAATATAAAAAGAACAACATTGTGCAGCATGTGATGATTTTCATTATATATTCAACATTCTGCAGCATGATGCATTACAGAAACTGCCAATTTTTCTTTTCAATTGCTTTGAAAATCTAGCAGTATGCACCTCTGGGAGGTTTCTCATTTCATTCAAGGCACATTCATTGAAAATGGATATGGAGAGGAAACAGGACAACTGAGTAAATGGTATGGAATGAAGAGGGGGAGCCATGAACAATAGATTTGATTTTCAGTGCCATGACAACAATTTCTGTTCATGAGCTATGCGAAATTAGGCAAAGTCCTGCTGCAGAGTGGACAAGTTGAGGCACTGAAGTAATTAGGAGGTGGGAAAATGTGTAAGAGGGAATTTGCTGTGCTGGCCAAAGCAGACAGATTTTTGTTTACATTAGGGTCCCACCAAGAGCACTTGCCAAGCACAGCAAGGGAATGTTCTTAGCACAATGAGAATGGTATTTCAAATGTACAGCCTATCATGGCCTCCAGCATAATGAATCAGACTCCACTCTTTTTGCTTGAGAGGGCTCTGTTGATTTAAAAGCTATCTGTCAGAGATGTGCTTTGTGGAAGCCACATTCTGCCACACAGTAAATACCACTGTGCTTTTGTGAAGGTCTGCTGCCTTCATCTCACAAGATACAACTCACTTCATGTTTCTTGTATATTGAAAATGGCCTCTTGTTCTGGCACAGAGCAGAGCAAGCTCTGAGCAGTCCTGACAGAGTGTTGATAAAGCATCACACCAGCATTAAAAATTAATGTACTCTCAAAGGCTCAGATCTAAGCTAAATTAGAAACAATTTCTTGAAGCATTTTCCCTCAGTAAAGATTCTGTGATTAGCCACTTGAGAGACAGAGTTGTTCAAAAGTATTTTATATTATTAGCTTTTCTGGAGGTCACGCTTTTATCATGGCAATAGTGTGCTTCACTATGTGCTTCTCATTCAAGAAATGAGCAATACTAGTTTTGTTTACATCTCAAACTTAATCACTTCAAGCACAGAGGAGCAATGGAAGACTTCAAACTAACATATGAAAATTGGAGAAAGCCCTAAAAACTGAAAGTGGATATTCAGGATATAAATATCCAAGTTATTTTTTACTGTGTATTCCATTAGTACTCCAGATAGCTTAAAAATTATCATACTCCAGACAAAAAACAAAACCAGAGGTGTGTTTATCAATTTGAGCACAGTGTCTAACCATGCCACACCTAAGTACAAGAGAATGGAGAAAAGGAAAAAATGAGATAGTAGGAATGGAAAAACTGACAAGTCCATACCATGGATAAATCTTATTTTCTCTCCTCCCTAAGGGAGAACAGCTGTGAGCAGAATGACTTGCCCAATTCACCCCAGCCTCCAGACAACACGCTGACATTTGGCAGTTTGACTGTGCCCTCTGCTGTTAACAGGAACAAGGGAAGGACTTACATGTCTTGAAAAGGGGTTCTAGGCCAACCAAACTGGATTTGAGTTTGGAATCAAGCATTTCTTCAAACTTCTCGAAGCACACTGGCAGCTGTAAAAACAAAGGTAAATGGGAAAATTAAAACATTGCCTATTCTTTGTTTGCAAAATCACATCCCCAGATGCCACAGAACAATGACTGCAATTCATGAAATGGAGCAGCCCGAAAATGGTTGTTTATCTGTCACTTGAAACAATTTGTCCAGCTGTTGGTTGCAACCCCAAAGAAGATCTGGGATGGCTCAAAAGGCTCATGAAATCTGAACATCTTTCAAAAAAGAGATACTGATCTGTAAAATAGGATTAATAATAACTAATAAAATGAATTATAGAAATATTCGGTCAGAGACCTTCACCTTCAGACCACAATGACTAATCCTGAGAGTAGACTGCTTTCTTCAGGCAGAAGGGGAAAAGAACTGATATTTGCAGGCTGCCACTACAGCTTGTTTTGCTCTAGAGACCCAAAGAAATTTCACCACTGGCTCTGAGGCAAGTCCCTAAAGACCTTGACCCTAAGGACACAAAGGCAATGGTATATGCAAAAAAAAAAAAACCCTTACAGTTGTTGGTTTAAAGTATTTGAGTGCTTAAGACACAGAATGTAATATTTTAGATATCAGCATAGCAAAGGAGAGAAAGTGAATACTGAAGAGTCTGTAGTATTTCTAACTCTTCATTATTTTACATTCTGAATTTGAAGTAACTTACCTCTTGAAGCTTGTCTTTGATGCTGGAAATAAAGGTGCTTAGGACTTCACTAAAATGGAAAAAACCAACAAGTATGAACCAGAAATGTAAATTACTGAAGTGTACAAAAATTGAAAAGATCACTGTAAAAATGAGACAGGAAACACTGCAAGGCATAGTGTAGTATGAAATGTTAGCACAGAAACATGATTACTTCAGGGGGCATAACCCTTTGAAGTCACCTCAGTTGTTTCAGGAAAACATGGACTCTGCAATGTAATGTAAGAAAAAAGTATATATTCACACATGCTCATATGTATCAAATACATGAAGTAGTGGGGTTTTTACTCTCAGATTTTTGGCCTCTCTCTCAAATTTTTAGTTGGCATTTGCCCAGCTGTCCATTAGCTGCTGGGGTGTGAGCACTGTGTTATCAGCTCCGGAAGGACCCAGCCTGTGCGGTGACGTGCCAGTTGCTGCGATACACGGGTATTGTGCTGGGACTAAAATAACTGTGGGAAAAACACGGGAAAAGCTTCAGCATCAACAAAGCCCAGGCCAGGAAGAACAAATACTGCAAATCCTTTTCTCCTGAGATTATGCCTGCGGTTTCTGTTATCTGCCCTTTTAAGTTGAGCCAGCGTATCAGGAACCAGGCTATATTCATGATTAACTTGCCACACCAAAATGCATGGATGGTTGCTAAGCAAAGTGATAACCTTTTCCTCTCTGAAGATTTGGGTCATTTGAAGTCAATCATTTGAGTGATCTAAATTACAACAGCCAAAAATATGCAGAGGCCATGTAGAATCTAGTTATGAGAAATCTCTCTAGCCTTATGGAAAGGAAGATACTAATTTTCTTAGTCAAACATGAGGGGGATACAAATTGATAAATTATACACTTATCTTTGAAAAGATAATATAGTTATTTCTAAAAACAGGCTTCTAATCTGGGAGCAAGTCTGGAGTGTAGGAAGAAGCATAATCCATTTAAAGAAAAAATAAGGAATAATTATGAGTGATGCCTAAACATTTAAAAATACTTTATCATTTCATTACAAAGATCTTCTTCTAATAGGCAATTGAGAATAAAATTTTGTCTTATCAGAAATGCAGTGCCCATTGAAAAGGCAAGAGAGATACATAGCCAGATTTGATCAAAGGCTTTTAATAAAAACACACTTCACTTTGGATGTTACATTACAAAATGTACAGTGCTAAGAATTATTTATAGGTGCACTGGGGAGTTTGCCATATTTCATTTTTGAGCTTCAAATTGCTGGCTTGTTCCTTGAAGTCCTTCAGGACCTACAGGTACCTGTAATTCTTGACATCTGACAAAGAGTAGATGCAAATTACATTATCAAATAACACTTGTCTGTTACCAAAAAACCAATACATAAAAATCTTGTATGGAAATAAAATTCTAGAGATATATGCGGGTTTATAAAGATGCAATCTGCACACATGTGTGATTGGCAATCCCCTCATCTGGCCCAAATGTGAAAGCCATACTTAGAGTCCCTTTTATCACTCCCCACATAGCCTATAAAAGTTCAAGAAAAAAGGGTTTTCACAGAGAATCAATACAGAAAAAAGAAACAATGCTGATTAGATAAAGGTAAATTCAGGTTAGAGTTTTGCTGTTCAGTGGGGCTTATGGCTGAATGTGTTACATAAATTGCAAATAAACACTATTCTCTTACCTTGTAACTCTTTCTAATTAAAAATTATTTAAAATCTGAAAATACTTTTCTTGGAGAAATATGCAGATATGCCATGTATGATTTGTAAGAGGGGAAGAAGGAGCTGCAGAGAGTGATAACCACCAGAAGAGAAAGAATTTCCAGTGGATGTCTACATACCGGTCATATTTGTCCTTTATTTTGTTCTTATTCGCTTCAAAATTTTCCAAGACACTTTTTAGTCTTCCTGCACCAAAATTAAGAGAACCTTTTTCTCTTGTTTCTTCATCAAATAACTGTGGTTTTGTCTGGTATTTTGTAAAAATACTGGGCTCACTCTGTGACACAAACAAAAGAAAACTGTTGAAGTACAAAAATAATCAGAACATTAATTAGAAGAAACCATTTGTTTATCCAGTGCAGACAGACTTCACAGTGATTGGACATGACAGATTACATTGGATGAGGAGATTAAGAATTTTGTGAGATTATGCCTCATTTAGTGTGCCTAGTTAGATCAACTCTCTGTGGATCTGAGTCCCAGCCCAAATTCCTCCAGACACAGTTTTCTGTGTCTGGAGGAATTTGGTTTTCTCTCATCTTGAGGATTTTCAGTTTGCTACAATTATAAGGTGTGCTGGGTTTTTTTCCCTTCTATGTTCAAGACAGGGACTATAAATGAATTTCAGTGTTCCTGAAATTGTAGAAAAGTTCAAGTTGTCAGTAGAATCTCCCTGTACAGGAATCTAAAAAAAAAATCTTATTGAATTGCCTGGTGGATGACATCATTTTGCTGCCAACTAGCAACATCGACAGACTGTAGATGACTTTTTCACATGCTTCAATACACATTTTAGAACAGAAGTTTAATATTAATATGAAAGCTTCATTCTACAAAATTTCCAGACACCGTGTGATGAAAATGGCAATGCCTTTTCCTTAAAACATAAAAAAATGCAAATTCCATCAATGTTTTTTAATTGTGAAAAGTGAATTTCCTGTTTTGTGTCTGATGAAAACTGCTCCTAGGCAAAATACATAGGACAGCAGATAGCATCTGGAACTGAAGGACAGCCTGGGGCCTCCAAGCTGGCACCACTGCTCTTCCCTAATCTTTGCTCCAGGTGTGTTTATTCTGATCTGATTCCGTTAGCTGTGCAGGAACTATTTTAATGGAGGCTGGCAACACCAGAAACCATGAGCTGTAGGAGGAATATTGTGAGCATAGAAACTCTTCACCCCTATCCAAAATCATCCAAGCATCTACCTTAACAACAGAGCAGCAAGGTCATTGTCAGTGCAGGGAAGCAAACACTGAGTTGCTCTGTCATCCTTGCAGAAAGCTAAGGAAGTGAAATACATCATTTTTGAAAGAAAAATAGATGTAATATTCTGACTTAGCTAGGTAGGTGGTCTAAAGACATTAGCTTGAGAATAATTTCATATTATTTCAGTAACTTAAAAATGGTTTTGAAGAAAATAATACCTATCTCAATAATAATTTATAGCAATCTGTTATAAATACCACATTCATCTGACCAGGCTGCTACTTTGTCTTGTCACAGTAAGGATGTGTATGTAGGAAGAAGACAACTTGATTTCAGCAGTTACTGACATTTGCAAATGTTACCACCTGATTTCAGCATTTTCCATTTACTTTGAATGGTAGCTGTGTGCTTGCAGAGGGCTGACAGGAGTGAGACTCACATCCTGGGAGTTCTGCTGTCCCAGCTGCGTGCCCAGCTCCAGTGGTGCTGCTGCCGACTGCGCATTCTCCGGGCAGAACTGGGAGCCAAAGAGCAGCTGAGAATCACTCAGATTCGAGTGGTCACTGGCAGTGCTGCTCCTCATTGAAAACTTATTGGGCCTGAAATGGGGCAGAGAGGGATGTGAATGAGTCCGGAGTAATTAAAAAGCCAAACAAAATTCCCTACATGGCCCGCTGGAAGTGCTATTCTGGATAACAATTTCTGCTGTAACTCAGGTGTTGATTCGATAAATTGGAAGGCAGCTCCAAGAGAATAAACAATAAAGCTTTCTGACTTATAGCTGACATTTCTTGGGCATTTATTCTCCAGATGCCTTAAGTCTGACACAGTAGAACAACAAATAAATAGAGGTAGCATATGGCTGGATGAACTGATATGAATTGTTGGAAGTATTTCAAACATATTAACATGCTACTCAAAAGTGCTCTTCTTTCCCTTGAGCGTTACTCAAATAAATCTTTCCTAGATACCCTTGATTTTCTGCTGTGTTACTCTGATTCTACTCCTCTTCAGAAGCACTCTCATACTCCTCTCCTGCTTTATGGACTTTGTGGCATAGGACCAGCTTCCCTCAGACAAGGGCTTTCCTGCACAGCTGCACTGCTTCTCATTGTGTTGGAGGCTGACTTCAATTTTTTTGTTAGCAAAAGTATACATAAAAGACTTCTTTCATTTTTCACAAAGAATTGTAGAAGGGTTTGGGTTAGAAGGGACCTTAAAGATCACCTAGTTCCAATCCTCCCACCATGGGCAGGGACACCTTCCACTGCACAATGTTATTTAAAATGCCATCCCTTCTGGCCTTGAACATTTTCAGAGATGGGGCCTCTACAGCTTCTCTGGGTAACCAGTGCCAGTCCCTCATCATCCTCACAGGAAAGATTTTTTTCATACCAATCAATCTAAATCTACCATCTTTCAGTTTAAATTATTACTATTCCATTGCTCCACATCCACGAGGTCTGGCAGAGTGTTTAGGTTAGGACCAAACACAAAAAAACCGTGCCAGGTTTATATTCTCAGCTCTTGCTTTTTTTGAGCTAGCAAGATGGAGAGATGTGTTGCTGCCTTTGGAGCTGGAAACTAGAGACCAAAATAAATGAAAATAATTCATTAAAAATTTGCACAAGATTTTTCTTCCATGTCAAATGATACAAGTAAAGGAGAAGGAATAGGATAATAACTCATGTGTATAACAAGAGATGATCACCTCAACGTTTATTAGCAGTGACGTGTTTGGTTAATCCCCTGTTTTGGAAGGAGCCCAAACGTCATAGACACAACAGGGAAAGGGTTTAGCAGCAGCACTTGAACTGCTCAGTGTCCATTATACAGTAGTGTCACTGACAATATCATATTAATGCTTTTGGCTTTAAGCTCACTGACTACACTGAGCTGCAGGCAAAAATAGATGAGGTATGGGTTTCTGAATTCTCAAAAAGCCTGATAAGTCTGTCTGAATTCAAACCTTCTCCCTTAATCCCTCTCTGGACCCCAAATCTGCTAAGAAAAAAATCTGACTACAGTTTTACTTGCACAGCTTCTTGTTTCCATCTCAGCTAAGCTTTGTAAAAAAAAAAATTCTTAATCTACAGGCAGTATGTGGGGGAGATGTGAGCACATGGGCTGCCCTGACCCCACATAGGCAGAGGCCCTGCCTGCAATGTAAGTATTACATCTCCTGCACCAGTTTTCTAAATCCTTCTGTCTTCCAGACAAAAAAGCTCCCTCTTAGTTTGAGGAAGGGTTTTTATAATCTTCAGATGCTTTGTGGTCTTGACGAAACGCCTTTGAAATTGTCCAGTATAATTGGTGAATATCACACCCCATAGTATGCTTGTTTTCTCAGATGCTTTGTATTATTTACTACCTGAAGCACCAAGATTCTTATAACAAAGATTTTATGAGGAGTATTGAGCTGACAGGACTTTATGAGCCAAGCGACTTCCTAGGCTTACTCTGCACTACAACCAAAGGCAGCAGTTGGCTGCTCTGGAGCTCAGTTTTTCTGTCTTAAGTCCACTACATCAGCAGTTGGTTTAGGAATGATGACACTTTTGCAAATTAAAGGGCGAGGTGAAACAGATGTCTCTTTTGAATACACTCATTCCCCTGAGCAATGGATTTCTTTATCCCTTGCTTAACACTGCTGGCAATTAATTTACTAACAAGACCATCTGGGCAAGCCATCAGCCTGGCCATGCTTGGCCCAGGCCTGTCCCTGAGAGAGAGATCAGACCACGATGATCACATGTGGGATCAGATCTGTGATCAGGCAACTGCAGCTCTTCTAACCACCTGACCATTCCCTTCAGAATGCCTGAGATGCAGGGATGCATGTTCTGTCCTAAATATAAACCCTTTCCCATAAACAGCAAGGAAACATCCCAGGTATGCAGTTGCACATAGCAGTCCCTACTAAGTGAGGAGTGCAATAGTTTACCTCAGGAGAACTTCTGGCTTTCTGCTAACATGAGCCGTGCCCCAAATCGTCTGTGTTGGTGCACATAACATTCCTTTGGTACTGGCACTAGCATATGCATCCAAAGCAAAACCAACTTTAGATATGTAAAACAAGTTCTTGACAGCTCCAAAAAATGGTAAATCATCCTCTGCTGACTGATGGTCAAATGACTTCATTTTCCAACCTAACTTAATGCAAGGTATTGCAATATTGGCAGCTCCAACCCTTTCTCGTGATATGAGCATGATCTAAAAAATCTGCAGTGTTCTGCATATCTGGGGGGTCAGCTAGATCTTCCCAGTCTCTGTTTCCTTGTTGTCAGTGGAAATTCCCTCTTTATAGGAGGAGTTAGAACTTTCAGGAGCTTCTTTCATTTTTCTAATTTTCTGATTTCCACTCCAAGTATTTAACACAAACACATGCAAACATTCACTTTTCATTCAAAGGTTCTGGCTTACCTCAAAACAAACATGGCATGCAATAAATACCCTCTTCTAAAGTTTCCTAGATACTCTAGGCACACTGACAAACTAAAGCTTCATAACTGTAAATTGCCAGTAAATTGCCATAGGCCTCATCAATCTTTTTTTAAGAACTGATATTTGTATTCTGTTATTTGGATCCATCCTAATGTGTCAACACCAAGGTTTAAGAGTCATTTGAAAAAGTAAACTGAAACTTCTACAATATGCAATGTAACATTTATCTGCGGTGCTGCTATAAGCACTGATTTTTCTCTGGTTCTGTCATCCCCACTGAACCTGTGCCAACATCCTTCTTCTTCTTCTCAAGCACTGTGGGTGAAGCTCACTTACACCTTTCTGACACATTTCTTCAAAGTGCAGTAAAGCCTCTTTCCCAAAGAAATCTTTCTCTCCTAGTAGCAGTGTCTTGAGTAGGATCAGTGCCATAAACTCTCTCTTCTCCTGGTTTCCCTCCAGAAAAATCTCAGAGCCCTTTCTGCTCCTCCTCATTTAGGGACCAGGGCTGAATCACAACAAATCCAGTATAAATTCTGGGAGCTGCCATTCACCTGCTCTCCCTCCTGACTTTAGCCTGTATCTATAGGAACTGTCTCTAGCTCTGCTATTCTGCTCTCTTCCTCACTATCAGCTGCCTGCCGATGTGCTCAGCAAATGAGCAAGGATCAGCCTTGGCTTTGGGTGCTGAGGAGCTGGAGGAGTTAAAATCAAGGAATTTTATCTGCTATTGCAGCCTCCAGCCATTTGCCATCTCTTCACTGGAAACAGTCACAGCAGAAAATTATTATTCTGCTTCCTGTCCTCTGGAATGGCATGACCTGCTTGCTGGAAATAACTTGCACCACGTCCTAAAAGGAATTTTTACAAACACATTCTGGCACTGGCCCTAATGCATTAACCACGATGAAATCCCTCTCAGCTATTCAGCTCAAACACAGCCTCCAGTTTCCAGATTTCAGGTTCAAAATCCCTCTGGTCTTATTTTAATTTCTCAAGGTCATTTTTACTTTCTATGTGTTTCTTCATTATTCATTCAGCTGTGATTCAATACTGCCCAGACATCCTTACCTTGGCATCCATGTAGCCCTTTGTCCTGAGCTGGTTGCCAGTTACAACAGGGCCTTTTCCTTCAGAGGAGATTGGCATTCCTGCAGAGTAGCCCTGTTTCCTCCCTCAAAATTCATCCCCAACCATATTAAAAGTTAGGCACCTGGAGATAGGGATTTTTTTTGCTACCCCCCTCTCTAGCCTGAAGCCATCTTCCAGCCTGCACTTACAGCCCTGGTTTCTCATTCCTGTGAGGCTCTAGAATTTTACAGCTGCTCTCCTGGTCTTTGTCTTGGCTGTCTTCTTCATTTTCTGCTTATTCTTGAACCTTAATGGAACTTCAAAATATGTGACCTTGTGATTTGGGATGGAATTTCATGGATAATGGATTGAATGAGGTTTTTAAACTTGGAAGTTATTCTCAACTGCAGAAATAAACCATACAGAGTAGTGGCCCAAGTAGGCCTTAACTTCAAGAAGCTGTTTAGAATGCCTCTTTAATATTTTCATAATTTCTTGGCCTTACACATTCTCTGGCAGGCTTTCTGCTTCTGATGTCTTTGGAAGTCAGTATATGAATAGCTTTTATGCATATAGCAAGTTACTTCTTTTCTCATGGTACAAGAAATTTCTCATAACTTCAATTTCAAATCTATATAATCAAGTCTAAATAATCTCTCTCCCTCAGGCAAGCATTTAACCCTTTGGGCTCTACAGTTTAATTTAATTTTTACTGAGGTTTATTATTACTATTCCAGTGTCTTTTTACTTTTAATTAACAGCAGTGGATTTTTTGGCTTCTGCTGCTCCTGCAGAGATACTGACTCCAGCTCCCTACTGCCACTCTCATGGTAGCACTACAAGAGCAAATAGCCTGAACAGGGATCTTGTGCTCAGTTCAGGGCCAAGGCAAGATGTGTCCCTTCCCCTGAGAGCTCCCTGGCCAAGGCAGGTATTGATGGTGTCTGAAAATGTACTTTCAGCATCACGCCCCTGTGATGCTTATCCAGTCAATCGAAGGCTGATTGAAGCATCAGTGCTTTTGTGGCTGCTGTTCTCTCATCCTCTGTGATCTCCCTCTGCCAGCCCTCCAGGCTGGGCAAGCAGCAGCACTGCTCTAACATGGCACTTTCTCTAATGAAAGCTGGCATTTCAATCCATAAAAACTGTGTCCTTTGTCAATACACTCAAATTGAGCCTAAGCTTTCCCAGTATAACTGTTAAGTGTCCCCCTTCCACCCTCTAAAATAACTGGCACCCTGATACTATTGTCCAACCTGATCATATTCCCTCTGCTCCATTTCTCGAATCTCTGTTATGTCAATATTCATACATAAAACCAGGTGGAACAGGGGTTCTGGTTCCTCACACCCTATTTCTGAGGCTGTTAGGGTTGCAGAGAAGCACTTGTGTGTCTGACAGATAACAAATAAAACACAGAGCACTTTTGGGCTTGTGCAGAGCTGTGTCTGTGAGGGCAATGCATCACTGGAGCTCTGCATTTCCTGGGGACCTGGTGGCAGCTGCTCTCAGAAGTAACACCCTGACTCAAACTTGCAAAGAACTCACAGAGTGAGTCATACTCTGCCTAGATTATACGCTGATTTTATGTTTCATTTTTAAAGCTCCCTGACAGAGTTTTCTGGGGATTAAACAGCATACCCTGCTGTGGTGGGAAAGGTTTCTAGTAATAGAAGTCAGCCAAGGAAAAGTAATCAACACTTCTGCCCCCTTTTTAAATACACACACACATTCACATGTTCCTGTGGGAAACTTTTCTTTCCTTTAGAAAAGGTTAATTGTCCACAGAAAATTTTCTCCCCCTTCTTACCTCCTCTAAAAACCCAGCTGCATTTCCAGTAATATTTTATGCCCTATTTGACCCTTTTGAACTCACTCGTAAAAAATGTGAAAAATGCTGAGGAGTGGGTGTTAAAATCTTGCCTATATTTTCTTCCTGCGTTAATAAATGAGTTAAAAGGGAAGATGTTGTAGGTGATAGGCTACTTTGGAGAAAGAAATTCAAGTGATCCCTTTCCAAACAGGCATCTGTATTTCCACTCATTTTCTTCCATATGGCACAACTCCACAGAATTATTTATATATTTTAAAAATAGATCTTATATATCATGTATATAATATAAAAATGCAATTATATATTTTATATATATTATGTCTTTTTAATATATTCTCTAAACTTCCCCTCCTTAGTCTCTGACTTGAAAGAAAGTCACAGGTTTTCAAACTTAGAAACAACTTATTGAAAACTAACAAACCTCCCATAAAGCAAACAAAATTAATCTGCAGGTACCAAGAAGACAATAGAGTTAAGCAATGCCCAATTATAAAGAAAAACTGTGAGAGACAGAAATAAATTTTCCCCTGAATTGGCTCCCCTTTGCCCCCTGCATCTGTGAAAAATTCAGTTAATTAATATCTATATGACAAGCATTTCTATAATGGGCAAGAAAATGACTATTATGTTTTCATTATCATCCATCACTTTGGTAACATCTGGCCAAAGAGACAGTATGACTAAAACTGTGAATTTGAACAAGTTAGTTATGTAAGTGGGTTATTTAACTAACAGAGGGCCAGAGTACCAAATTCATCAATTAGCTTTTCTGGAGTCAAAAAGGGGATGAGTGCCACTGCCTTTTTTAGCCATGTGATACAAAGGATGCTCTGAAGTACAAATTGCAGCTTGTCTTACATATTTGCCCTCCAGATGTTTATATCTGAATATTTGTTGTTTCACTGTAGATTGTAGCTGTGCGGAGCTCTAGCTGCTCTTTGGCTTCTGCTGGGAAGAAAACAAGCCATGTGTATAAATGCAGGATATGGAATAATTTTTGAGTTACATAATGTGCAATAATACTGCACATCACGATTCGTTCTATCTGCCCTGTGCACAGGCAAGAGGAACACTTGACTTATCTAATGAGATGAGCACGGCTCACAGGGCTTCCCCAAATACACTCTGAATGGACAAGGGTCCAGCTTCCAGTTAATGCTGATTTTTAGACTCCCACCAATGGTGGATCTATGGCAGTGCTGGCAGGCTGGAGGCATAAACAGGATCCCAGGGCAGGCTAATGAATTTCCATTAGACTTCCCTAATTAGCCACAGATCAGTTCTGGACATGTTTAACCTCACCTGTCATCACCCCTGCCAAGTGTTTGGTTTTATACCCCATCCCTTCTCCATCTTCCCCCACCCACACTCACCCGAGGGCTGTCGGTGTGCTCAGCATCTCCTTGATGTTCCAGACGTTGAAGTTCATGTTGTTCTCAGGGCTGACACCCTGGCAGAGAGCCCCCAAACAGCACCATGGCCCTCAGGGCCTCTCCCCACCCACAGTGGCCATGGTGCCACAGTGCCTTGCAGAGAGGAGGGAGATGGAAGAAGATGACCAGCCCCACTCAGGGCAGCATCACCTGTCTCCTGTGGCTGTGGGGACAGCCCAGGGGGACACGGCCCTGCAGGCCCGGGGCAGGCCCGGCCTGAGGCCCTCCACAGGCCTGGGATGCAGCCAAGCACTGGGCCTGCCCACCTGTGGGGCCTGAGGGACCCTTGCGGCAGTGCCTGGTCTCACCCCAGGGCTGGGAGTCCCTGGGGTCAATCTGGGCCTGAGGGTCCTTTGGGTCACCCCAAATTCAGAGTTCCTGGATCACACTCTGAGAGGCCTCAGAGTCCTACGGGGGTCTCAGGGTCTCATCCCAGGGCTGAAGGTCCCTGGATTTCACCTCAAGGCTGGAGACCTCTGGGCCTCACCCTCAGGCTTGAGATGCCTCAGGGTCCTCTGGGGGTCTCTGGAGTCACCCTGGAACTGAGTGTCCCTGGCTCCTTCCCTGGAGATGAGGGTCCCTGTGGTCACCTCAGGGCTGAGGGTCCCTGGATCTCACCCTGTGGCCATGGACCCAGGATCAGCCCCAGCTCCAGTCGCTCTGCATGCCAGCCCTTGCTCCTCACCTGGAAGCACAGCCCCAGGCACAGGGGGTCATCACAGGACACTGGGAGGATGAGAAAGCTGAAAGCTTGGAACCTGGCACACTGAGAGCTGCTCCCATGTGAGCATGGCAGCCACAGCACCAATTTCCTTTATTTCCAGGGTCTATGTGGTCTCTTATGTAAATACCTCTGGCAGAAATGAAGAAGGACTTAATTTCATCCATCAGAAATATGACAAAAATAACCACCATCTAAACATTCCCCAAAGAAACATTCTCAAATATGGTTTTACTGGATTTTTTTTGCCTTGTGGTTCCATAACACCCATGTTTAGGAATGTAGAACAGGCATGCTTGCTTGTCTATTTTTTCCTCCTTTAATTCAAAACTATTTCAATACTAGTTAAAATGTTTGTCTCCTGGCTCTGAAGATACTCCATAAGCACTAAACCACTGGAGGAATAAGGTTGACATAAATTCATGGATAGATCAGGGGAATTACTTACATTCCCCTTTATTTTCTTCTGCCTTTAGTACTAAAGGCAGCCCAGAGCTCAGGGGTGTCAAAATAATGGCTTTCTTGATTTATATATCTGGTTTCCTAATCAAATCCCATGTAGATAAAGCTTTCACTTTAGATAAAAAAATAAAATTCTGGTCTTTTACCCATTAAAAAACTTATTGGAGCAATTTCACTGCATTGCTTTGCTTGACATTACAGCACTAGGGTTGGTTTAAATAGCTTGGATTAATCAAGGCACCTTGATACCTCCCAGTTCAATGAGGAGACTCTGATGTGTTGATTTTCTAGGACCAGAGTGGGGAGTTGCAGCTTGGGCCGTGTTCCTACCTCAGGGATGGGATAGTGGCTGGGCTGTCCAAGGCAACCATGGGCTGGAAGGCAAACCTTCCTCCAGAATGCCAAGCTGATGGAAATGATAATGTTTATTGCGAATTTTAAGTAAATAAAAGCCTTGTTCTGCTCCTGAACTGCCTACGGCTCTGTTGTACAGGCAAGTACATGGCACTGTTGCCGAGAGCCTTGCTGTGCATCCAGGCCCTATATGGTCCTGCATCATAAACAGTGATTTTCCAGCATTTTATTGCTCATGATTGAAAAGTTGGCCCAGATCTCCCTGCAGAAGAGACTGTAGAGTCCTGTACCCATTTGCAGTGCTTCCACTGCCATTAGAAAAGGAATTGCTGGTGCTGTGTGCACTGGTGATAAGGCTCAACATGTTATTTTAGGTACTTAGAAAGAGCTATTCCTATTTCTGATGTGGCTGGAGCCTTCTGGTATGAACGTCTAGCAAGTTTGTGGAATAAGATAAATGAGATTTTTGTATTTCCATCTCTCCTGACAACGGAAAGAAATTTCAATATGGAAACACATTTTTTTAATTATAGGTCTGACAGCTACCTCCATTTCCATCTCCCCCATCCATAACACGCTCTGGGGAGATGAACCACGTTGCCAGGCACTAGCTCATAGCTCTTCTTATATCTGAAATAACAGTCTGTGCTTCTAGCATTAGGGAGGGTAGCCAGTAGTCTTTCCTTTAGTAAAAATTAGCAGAAGTTTCCAGGAGATAGACAGCAATATACTTGGTACATTTCTCAACTTTTTTGACTTCATAGCACATTTAATTAGAAATTCACATGAGTTTCTGAGTTAATAACATGTCAGTCTGCAAAAGTGGCCAGGACCCTCATCTCTCCATTCCTGAAATGTCCTTGAACATTCTCCTGGTAACTTTTCTCTCCTCATTCAAATGGGATTCTGGTCTTGTGCTCAAAAGCAGAGATAGGAAAGAGTGACAATTCCACACTTAATGAGAGGTCACGGATTCCTGTTGAACTCAGGTGAAGGAGCCAAGACAAAAGGCACTCCAGTGAGTCGATGTGCCAGGAAAGTGTGTGCAGGAGGCAAAGTGCTGCTGACAGAGGGCAAATGCCTGTGGGGCAGGGATCATCAGCCTCACTGCTGGAAACACCACAACGGTGAGGCACTCCTGAGCTCCAGCTTCCCCCTCCAGCATCCTCTGGCTCTTGCAGCTGCCACCGCCTTGAATTTGGAAAAGTAGCCTTGGGCACCCCATCAGCAGCAGGGAGCTTGTGAAGTTGGCACATAGGGATGTCAATTTGCCAGTGACTCAGCATCTTGATTTATCCCACTCATGCAACGCTCCTGCGGGAAAAGCTTATTAATCAGGCTTGTGTTTCCAATGCAGCTCCATGATTTAGGGTCCCCCATGACTAAAGGTTTAGCAGGATTGGAATTATTACATGCCTTGGTGGATTCTGGAAAGAGCTGTGAGGATGGAGAGACATACAAAACTGGCAGCAAGGGGTCTATCACCTTCCAGGACCCTGAGAAGGACAAGCCCACCAGGGTTTGAGCACAGACTAGGGAGTGCTGTGAAATACTCATAGAAGGGGGGAGCACACTGTGCTCAGAGGAGGTGTCCCTCTGTCCAGCCCCCAGTCACAGCACAAACCATTGACCTCCTCCCCAGCTGCCTCCCAGCTCTAATTTGGGGCTCAGTGTTGATGCTGGCTCTGGCACAACTGTGGTTTCTATGGCAACTCCAGAGGCAGATGCAGGGATGCTTCCAGCTGAGGTACCACCAGATTAGGTATCCCAAGTTGTTCCTCCCAAATCACAGGCAAACAGACATGCGGTGCATCAGGACAGATCCTGCAGTCACTGTGCCAGGTGGGCACCAGAGGCAATGGAGTAGCAACATGAAAATGTCTTCTGAATGCTCTTTTATTAATAATTTCCCACTTTTCCTATGCTGTGATGCCCCCAGGACATGGCACAGCCTGCCCCAGCAGTGTGTTGGATGCTGCCTCACTCTGATGGGATTCAATCTCCTGTCTCTACAGCCTTGCAGCCCACCCGAGGCTCACGCTGGCTGTCTTCTCTGAAAGGTCAGGCATCTGTACTTAATATTTACCCAGACTTGTGAGATCTTTCTAGTGTACCAATGAAGGATCAAATCTCTCACCTGCTTTCTGCTTTGGGTGTGAGACTCTGTGTGGAGCCAAGAGCAGCAAGGTTCAGGTGAGCCCATAGCACTGGGTAATTCAAGTGTTACCTCCCTTGATCTCACAGTGCACCCCTAAACACCACCCACAGACACCACCAGTATGGAGCTTAAATTCCCTTCCTGGTGGCCAGTAAGCAGGATTGCAGTGCTCCTGCCTACAGAAGCTGGACACAGTTGGGCTCAGATCTCTCCCACACCAGCCATGGTTCATCCTTTGAGATGGGGCTGTGGTGCTGGATGGGGCCTACGAGCCCTGACATTCGCCATCTCTTCTTTCTTCTCAGCATTCTGGCAGCCCTCAACATTCCCTGCCTCTCTCACACCCTGGATAACTTCAAAAAAGTCCTTCCTCTGTTGCTGCCTTCATCCCCCCACAGCCTTGACCCATAGGAGGCCAAGCAGGAACAAGGCTGTGCCAAGGCAGGACAGTCACTGCTTAGCTCCCCCTCTCCAAACAGGGACTGGATCTCTACATCACATTGCTCTGCTCACCCTGGAGGTGGGGAGAACAAGAGTTACCCTTGCTCCACCATATGGGCTCACTGAACTCTGCCTTGGGAGGGGTTTTCCTGACAGGCTGCAGCATGTGTTTGCCTGGAGTAGGATAACCAGAGACGACATGACTCCAGTAGGATAAAACTCCACATGTTTCATTTATTTGAGGTGCTACATCACCTCCCAGGCACTGAGCTACAGGGCACCTCTGTGCTACATGAGACATCGACTGGGTCTACGACGACACAGCACTCACTGCTACACACACGGCACAGATACGCCGTGGCACAGATGGGGCCGGACAGGGCAGTGAGGCCAGCGGCAGTCCTGCCACCGCTGCTCCCTCCACGCTGCTGGCGATGGCCATCCCACCAGGCAGGAGTTTGCCCTGGGCTTCATTGCCACAGCGCTGCAGGAGCTGGGAGTTCCCACAACCGCAGCTGCTCTGGTGCCTGGCATCATGGGACAGAGGCTTCCTGGAGCCAGGTCACCCTGGGTGAACACATGGGTGCTCACACACCCTGTCCCCGTCTTCAGGCACTTGGTGCTTGGCCAGGGCTGGTCCCCGGGGTCCCACTCAGGGCACATCACGCAGGCACAGAGCCTCAACAGCTCCACTGGGACCCTGGGCCACACCGCCGATGATGAAGAGCAGGCTGGGTGCTGGGCAGCTGGAGCAGGAGCAGCGGCCAGTGGGCATGGGGGGCAGCGGCTCCCACTTTTTCTGTGAGAGGCTGAACCCTTCCACTGAGTCCAGTGGGCAGGACTGGTTCCCTGTGGAAGACAGAACCACATCAGCCTCTGTGCAGCTCCCCATCCCTCACCCCAGGCTCTGCCTTTCCCCCTCCACATCCCTTTGATGCCTCAACAGGAGCCCTGAGCTGCACAGGCTTTGAGATCCCAGAGGCAATTAGTGGGGGCACAAGAGGATTAGCAGAGTCCCCATAGGGATGGCTGCTGGCACAAATGCCACACCTGCTGGCTCTGCCCCCTCAACCACTCCTTGCCCTCCCTCCCTCCTCGTGCCAGCACTCTGCAGGGATAAGGCAGCTGCAGCTGCAGCAGGACTCAGAATCAATGCCACACTGCAGGGATGCAGCCAGCACCATTCCCTATTCCCAGAGTGATCTTGGGGGTCTGGCAGCCCTTACTGCAGGGCTGGCAGTGCTGTGGCTGGCACCAGGCTCCCCAGGCAGCCCTTTCTGCTGTATGCCCTCTGCTGAGTGACAGCTCTAACCTTTCCCCAGCTCTCTTGGGAGAGGGATGCAGCACTGCAACCCTGCACAGCGGAGCTGAGCCACCATGGGCTGTGTGAGCCCAGAACGCTGCACATGAGCAGGGAAAAGCCTGACTGGGGAGTGAAAGGGGCAAGGGGCACAGTGGGTCAGCCAGTGGAACAGGGCAGTAGGGTCTCCTCACCACTTGTGAGAGCACAGAGAGATGTTGCTGCAGACAGTGTTGCAGTAACCCCCTGGCTTTGCACATGCCATGCAGTGTTGCAGTAACCCCCTACTGCCATGCAGATCACTGATGTGCCCCAAAGAATGGGGATGGGAACACGGCCACACTCCTATCCCCAGCATTACCGAGGCCACCCACAGCCACCACTCTTCCTCCCAGGCATCCAGCCACGAAGTCAGCTCTCTTCTCTTTCATACGGATGGTGCGATTTGGCTTTCTCCACACACCTGGGTATGAGATGGAGTGAGTATTGCCAGCTGGGGTTTCCCCTCTATACAACAAGGCCAGAACACCCACAGGTTAATCACTCCCTGGGACCAGGGAGCACAGGATTCATTCACCATGGGTACAAGGGGCTAATGTTCAGAGCCCATATAATTATGTCCCTCAGGCACAGACACCTCTCACCAACCCAGAATCATCCCAGACCCACAGAAGATGCTCCCACCTCACCCAGAGACATGGAGCTCACCCTGCGCAGGATCAAACATCTCCACGGTGTTGACAAAATGGGGACGGGAGTAGAAGTTGTGGGGCCCTGGCTGCTGCAGCCCCCCCAGGCTGAAGACAACTCCATCAGCCATGGCACAGGCAGCGAAGGCGCGGCGGCTGGGCACGCTGGGGTAGCGTGTCCAGCTCCTTGTCTCCAGGTCAAAAGCCTCGAAGGCGGTGACAGGCAGCTTGCCTTGCCGACCTCCTATGCACAGAGGAGATGTAGCTGCCAGTGCCCCAAGCTGGCACTATTGGTGTGCTCAGCAAGCAGGATGGGGCCTGCTGGCTGCAGTGCTGGGCACTATGGAGCCACCCTGGGGTGCACCAGGTCATTCTCTGGCCTGGGAACAGAGGAAGAAGAGGGTAGAGGCACAGGGGATGCTTGGTTTGCCCCAGCAGCACCTACCAAGGACGAAGATCTTGTTTCCCTGCAGGAAGGCAGAGGCCCCATAACACGGTGTGGGCATGGAGGGTAGGGGCTGCCAGTGGTCCTTTGCCGGCTCATAGACACGGACCAGAGCCTGGGGAGAGGTGTCTGCACCCATTCCCCCCAGTGCGTAGACAGCCCCATCTGGAAAAGAGGCAGTAGTGAGGCAGGGGGATCTGTGGGCAGCACCGAAGGGCTGGGAGTCCCTCCATGCCCCCAGGGCAGGCAGCAGCGCTACTGCTGAGCCCCACAGTCAGACACTGCTCCAGGGCAGCCAGGGGACAGTGAGTACAGCCAGGCCTGAGCCTGGCAATGCCCTGGCTGCACTGGGACCCTCTCACCCCCCTCTCCATCCCATCCATCAGGAACAGACAAGAGCACAGGGCCATCCTCTAATTATTCTCGGCAGTATCATCTCCCTGGAGACACCATGGCAACACAGCCATACTGCCAAATCCTGCTTCCAGCGCGGCCGGCACCCCGGCCCGCTCCCACCACTGTCCTGACATCTCTTCTGTCCTGCCCACCACACTGCAGCCTGGTCCATACCAAGCATCCCTGTCCAGGAAGTAGACATGGGCACCACATACAGGGACCAACCCTGGCTCCTGGCATGCTGTGCTGTACCAAGAGTCCAAGGATGCTTAGCAAACTTTGGGCAAGAGTCACAACATGTTCCTATCCCTCACCTCTCTGCACAGCTGAGATGCCCATGGAGGGCTGAGCCAATGCCGCCTTCTTCTCCCATTTGCCCTCATCCACGTGGTAGACCTCAACGGAGGCGAGGGGGCTCTGTGCCGCATCCACACCTCCCACCACCAAGATCTGCTTGCCCAGGGCGAGGACGGCAGCGCCAGCCCGCGGCGTGGGCAGTGGTGGGAGCGTGGTCCAGCGCTGGGCTTGGAGGTCGAGCACCTCAGCAGTTCCCAGGGCTCGCCCGCCGCCCCCGCAGCCGCCCAGCACGAAGAGCTGCCCGTCGCGGTGCGCGGCGCTGCAGTACACGCGCCGCGTGGGCATGGCGGGGAAGGTGGCCCACGCGAAGGCGCTCGCGCCCGCCGCCATGGGCCAGCTCAGCCGCCTCGGGGGTCCCCGGGCTCTGGCCCTGCCGTGCCGCCCATCCGGCCCGGCTCGCCACTGGTCCGGCCCACGGCCTCCTGCGGGGAGAGCATCCGAGTCAGAGCCCAGGCACCCATCGCTCCCCCAGCCCCAGCTAGTCAGCTCCTCTTGGCGGTGCGACAGCTCCTGCTTCGCGGGGCTCCGCACTGCACCCCGGGCTGCCTGCCCACCCCCTCCGGGCTCCCGATTGCGCTCCACGGCTCCCTGTCCGCCCCCTCCGGGCTCCCACTCCCTGGGGCTCTCTGCCCGCACGTACCAGTGCTCTTGCTCCCCGAGGTTCCCGCACCCCGGGCTCCCACTACCCGGTGCTGCTGGTACACAGCCCGCACTCACTGGGACCCTCGCGCGCCCGGGGCTCTCTACCCGCATCCCCCGGGTCCGTACCCTGCAGCGGCTTCCCGTTCACAATCCGGACCCCGGCAGGTTCCTGCTCTCGGCGCACCGTCCTCACCTCCGGTGCTGCCCGCACTCCCGCCCGCAACCCCCGGCGCTCCGGCGCACTGCCCCGCAGCCCGCACCCACAGGGCTCCCGCCCACAGCTCGCTGGCACCGGCGTCCCCCTGGCTCCCGCTGCAACGCTCGCGCCCCCGTCGCTCCCCGGATGCCCGCCCGCATCCCCGGACGGCCGCTCCGCTCCGCTCCGCACCGCGCCGCCGCTGGGAGAGGGACAGGGGCAGGCACCAGGACCGGGACTGGGACCAGGACCGCACTCACCTCTCCGCCCGCTCCGCCGCTCTCCCCGCCGCTCCGCGCCTCTGCCCGCCCCGGGCCCGCCCGCTGCCGGTGGGGGCGGCGCCGCGTCCGCCCCGGCCCCCCTGCCGTGCCCCTCTCCCCTCCGCCCGGCCCTCCCGGTGCCACCGGCCCGCCGTGCCCCTGCCGCGTTCACCTGGCCGGGAAGGAACCATCGCAGGGAGAGGGACTGGAGAGACCCTGGATCTGCCCTCCCTTGCTATATGCTGCCGGTGCCAGAGCCACGCAGCGCTGGGCTCAAGAAGTCGGGAACCCACCGTCCTACCCTAGAGATGACCCCTATCCTGTCACCACTGCAGGGACAGAACATCAGCTCAGCCCTACTCTGAGCACGACCCTGCTGGGGTCTCTCAGCAGCATCAGGAAAGGTGCACATGGGTCTCAAACCCTCCACCAACACTTTTGTCCCCACTTGGCTGAGCCAGGCAAATGAACACGCTGGGAAAGGCACTTCCCACCCACCAGTACAGGCAGAGCCAAGGGCAGGCAGGAAACTCACACATAAATGAGCTAAAAAGGTTTGCTTTAAAAACAGACAGAAGTGACAAGGCATCCGCCGAGAACACCACACCACAAATGCCACCTGGGGATGCTGCTGCTAACACTGTACTCATCCTGGCACCTGCTCTGCACCAGCCATCACTGCAGGAGCAGGAAGTGAGGCACAAACACTGCGAGGATGCCTGCATCACAGGATGGTGGAAGGGATCTGCCTGGTGACTGCAGAGGGACAGTGAGTCCCAGCCCTCATGCAGAAGTGGGCACCACAGGCAACACTGCCAAAGACTGGAAAACCATTTCCTCCAAAGATCCCATCACACAAGCTCCCAGGATGCTTGTGTTTGCTCATGGAAGGTCCTGATAGGACTGAACGCCCACATTGCACATTGGAGAGGTAACAGCTCGAAGCAGGAGCCCATCTGGGACTTTGACTGCATGCAGCAGGAAGCGGGTGGTGTCCCAGTCTGGAGCCACTCAGCCCCATGAGGTGCTATCACTGTCCATCCCACTGCTGGCTTGGGGTGTCCTTCTCCACGCAGGCCAGGTAGCGGTCGTAGTTCTCCTCACACCTCCTCACACAGTGCAGGAAATAGTCCTCATCAGCAATGGCTTCCAGCAGATTGGTTTGCACCAGGCAAATGTTGTACAGTGCTGAGGTGGGCACGATCCTGGGACTGCTGCTGCCCTGCTCTGAGAACACCTGCAGGGAGAGCAGAGCCTAGCAGCAATGCACACACCCAGTGGTGTGCTCTGCCCTCCCCTCAGCCAGGCGCCTCCATGGTGTGTGGCAGAGGCAGAGGGCAGGGTGATCCTATCTCCAATGCAACAGCAAGTGAAATTTCTTGAGATTTCCCCCTCTCCCAGAAATTGCCTTTGACTTTGAGCCAGCATGTCACACATGTGCCTGATGCTCCCTTAAGTAAACAGGCCACACCATGCAGCTGGAAGAAAATGCTCTGTGGAGCAGCTGACTCCAGGTGAACCTCTGCCAACAGCTCTTCCTTTAGCTACCACAGGATGGAACAGGGACTTCACCTTCTGGTCTTCACCATGGCCTGCGTAAAGACACCTGGCAATCTGTTTCACTCCTAGTGCTGCTCTGTCACCATCACTGAAATGGGGACAGCCTTGCAGAGCTGGTGATGCAAGAGGAGGGGAGAATGGCTTTCCACCTACCGATCCTGGCTGCAGGACAGCAAGGTCCCAGCAGTGACGATGAGCCCTGCTGGGAAGATGCTTGGCTGCTGCCCAGACTCCCACGAGGTCTGCTGCTACCATAACTGGATCCTACCTGTGTGATCCAGCCTGGGAGCAGCCCCAGGGCTGGCTGCATCGCTGCCATGAGATTAGCACAGCAGCCTGACTGACCAGCTGTGCAGGCTACCAATGCCAAAGGAGGAACTCCTTGATCACACAAGGATAGCCTGATGCTGAAATGCAGCAAGTGGAGCTGTGTGAGCCACACTCCAGCTGCTGCAGATCTGCATGCCATTGCAGAGGCTCCCCTCAACCAGGCATGGGACAGACCAAAGCCTGGTCCTGACAGGTCTGTCCAGGCAGTAACAATTCCTGCCACTAGCTACAAATGTATAAGCTGAGAAAGCTTGTATGGAAGGAAATATCCAATGAGCATCCCACCCCTTTCCATTCCCAGGCTGCCTGCCAAACACTGCAGACAATTCACTGGCTGCCGTGTCCCCCCTGCACCGTCTCCATATGGATGGAAACAGGCAGGGGTTGAGGATCACCCATGGACCTGCAGCTCTTGTTTGAGCACTGACAGCTGTCCAATGGCCAGGCACGGTTCTTTCTGTGTAAACATTCTGTTTCCCAAGTGTGTTCCCCACAAACAGTGCCCCTTCCTTCACTCAGGCAGGTGACAAGGCTGGCAGCCCTGATATCATTGCTGCTGCCTCCAGGCACGGGGCTGACTCAGAGGGGAGCAGAGGCAGCCAGCACCCGCTGTGCATTGCTGACAGCTGATCTCACCCTCCCTGTGCATCGCTGCCACCAACACTGGTGGCACAGGATGCAGTGACATCAGGGCTATGCCTTAATTCCCCCCATGGCATGCAGCCTCATGCAAAGGGGACAAAACATGTCTGACCTTGCCAGGGATACCCCAGTGCAGGCTGCTGGTGCCAGAGGGGCCTTCAACCACCTACCTGGGGGTGAACAATGGTGTCTTCATCGTCCAGCCGGATGTTGTCATCAATGAAGATGTGCTGAATGTCAGGATCATGGGGGTCTATCCACAGGGGCTTCCCACCCCGGGAAGAGAACTGATTTCTGGCCCACCTGAAACAGTAAGTGAAGAAGGAACAGTCAGGGCAGGGAGAGGGTGACAGCTCCCAGGTAATGGCAGAGTGTACTGCAGGCCCAGGGCACCCTCTGAGCCAGGGAAGCAGAACAGAGAATGTCCTGTCCTGCTGCCCATGCCCTCCTAGGAATGAGGCATTTTGCATCAAGGTGACAAATCAGGGGGCCTTTGGAGAAAAGCAGGAGGTATACCAGGGGATGGGGACCTCCAGAATGGTGTGAGAGTCCTATAAGGCTGCCCACAGGCAAAATGGGGAGTGCCTAAGTGATAGGGACCCCAACAACATAAAGGCTTCAAAACCAGGAGCTATCCCAGAAACGAAGAGAATCACAGGAAAGAAGATAATGCCAAAGCCACTTTCTCAGTGGCCTCTTTCTCACCAGTCAAAGTGGTCTTGGAAGCCTCCAATTCCCTCAAAGGAGCTGAAGTAGTTGTAAAGCTTTCTTTTGTCTTCCCGGGTGGCCAGACGCTCTGCTCCCCGTGTTAGCACCACCTCTTTCTTACTGCAGCGTATCTGGCCAGGGGTAAGGTCCACAGGGAGCTGCAGGACCACAGAAAATGGGGAAGGAAAAGTTTCCAAAGCAGACAGGTTGTTTCACTGGCACAGACACTAAGCAGCAGGGTGGAGACTCCCCACCACTAACAGTGTGGGAGGATGGTGCTGGGAAGATGACAAGAGGAGGCATGGAATGCATCCAACCAAAAATCATCCCCTCCCCAGGGATGGAAAGGAATGACTTCCCCAGGGATGGAAAGGAATGTCCTCCTAGCTGCACACTGCCCCCATTTCAATCTCTGCTATCTGAAAACATTCCAAGGAATAACTAAAGCATCTTCTAAAGCTCATTCCCAGCACTCCTGCCCAGTGTGCTGCCAGGAGAGGAGAGTGCAGCTGTGATCGGCTCTGGGCCAGGGAGCCCTGCTCTGCTGCAGCAGCTCCTGCTCGGGAGAAGGCATGCTCTGTCCAACACGGGATACCCCAAGAGGAAACCATTCCACATCGGATCTGCACACACATGCTCCCCCACAGCTCACAGCTTCATCCAGAGAACTCGATGCTTTTAAAAGCAGTCTGGCCAAGCAGCTGGAGAGCAGTCTGACGTGGGGGGGGGCTCCGTGGGACCATCCGGCTGCCCTTCCCCATCACGACGGACCCTCAGGGCGCCACTCACCGCCACGTCCCGCAGGGCAGGGAACTGCGGGTGCTGCCCGTCCAGAGCGCTGCTGACGGCCTGCAGGGCGCGGGGCAGGTCGGTGCCGAAGGTCCTGAAGACAACAGCGAAGGCCCTGCCATCCCGGTGCAGCGTGTCCAGGAGGCGGAAGAAGGCGGGCAGAATCAGGTGGTAGCGTTTGCCGGGCTCCCCTGGCACCGACAGGGCGTCGTGCGGCCGGCCCGGCCACTCCAGCAGCCGCAGGTGGCGGGCGTGGAGGTCACGGAAGCGCCGGCCCGGGCCGGCCTCGGTGAAGGCGGGGTCCCGGCCGTGGCGGCTGTAGTAGCTGAGGGCGCCGGGGCACGGGGGGCGCAGGGACGGGCGGTCGCTCACCCACTCCCACTCGCCTGGAAGAGAGGAACGCGCTCAGCCCCTGCACGGCCACACGGGTCCCCCGTACTCCCGGCCCCGGCGCTCACCGGCAGCCCCGGCGCGGCCCCAGGTGACGGTGCTGAGAAAGGTGTTGAGCGCCGCTCGTGGGGCCTGCCCCGTCACCGTGTCCGCCACCACCACCGTGTTGTTCAGGTCCACGTGCAGAACCAGGCGCCGCCGCCGCCCGGCCCCGCCGCTCATCGCCCCGACACCGACCCCGTTACCTGGTGACGGCGCCGCTTCCGCCCGCGCCGCTTCCGCCCGCGGCGCCCCCTGACGGCCCGGGACGGACCTCGCCGCCGTTGCCGTGGTCACGGCGGGGCCGGGGGCGGAGGGGCGGAGCGCGGGGGCGTGACCGAAAGGGCTCCGTGACTGTGGGCGTGACCGCGGCCCTCGGAAAGGGACAGGAAGCGGAAGCGGGGGCGCTTCCGGCGCCCCGCGGGCGGCCATGTTGGAGCGGCGGGTGCGGCGCAGCGGCGGGCACGGGTCTGGCGGCAGCCGGTAGGTTGGGGCCGGCGGGCCCGGGCCCCACGCCGGCTCCTGGGCGAGGGCGCTGCCGAGCCGCCCGCTGGGGCGGCCTCGGAGCGCTGGAGGCGGAGCCGCGGCGCTGAGGGCCCCGCCCCGGCCCCCGCCCCCCCGGTCCCGGGAGCCGGCGCGGGCCGAGCGCGGGTGCCGCACCCCCTGTCTGCACCAATCACCTCCCGTAGCCCTGCAGGGAGGGGCCGGCCCAGGCGGCCTGCCCGCCCCGGGGTCCCTCCGGCCGGCGGGCCGAGCCGTGGGGAGGGTACAGCGGGAGCGAGGGACGGGCGCTCGGGAAGGGGCATCGTCCGCGCCGAGGGGCGGGCCAGAAGGAGAGGCCGAGCGAGGACCTGGTGGCCCCGTCGAGCCCTCCTTGGGACTGCGCACCGGCCTCCGGCTCCACAGGCTGCCCCAGTCCCGCGTCTCGGCCCTGCCGGCAGCCGCTTCCCCCTGCGGTGCACCGGGAGAGCCCTTTCCATGCTCGGAGAGCCGGGCCTCTAAGCCTATGCTACCCTCGACCTTCCGGTGCTGTGCTCGCACTGCGCCGGTAGTGCTGTGCTCCCGTAGCCCCCCACAGCAGTGTCTCACGGGGGGGAACCTGCTGTCAGGAGGTCAGACTGTCCCGGGGTACGTCTGCTCGTGGCCGGCTTTCCTCCAATACGGCTGGCACTGCACCAAACAGCACCGAGCGGTTGGATCGTGGAAAGTCCTGTTCCCATGAAATGTCACAGCCAGAACACCCCTTCAGATGTCCCAGCTGCTCCCGGGCTTGCTGCAGCCTGAAGATGATCCATTTTGCAGCCTGTTGAGCACATGTTGTTACTTGTGCTTCTTCGTTGGTCTCTGCCTCACCACATCAAAATTACCATTACACCTTCTCTGGCTTTCCTGTGCCTGGCACTGCTTGGTCACTTTGGATGTGGTGACTCACTGCTGGCTGGTGACGCTGGCTGGGCCTCTGTGGGATCCTGCCTGCCTCCCCTCCTTCGTGGGAGATCCCCCGCCTGCCTCTGAACAACTGCATTATCCTCCTCCAAATCCCTCTTTGGCCGTGACGTCTGCAGAGCACTTGACTGAGATTAGTCTGTCATGTGGAGGTTCTTACTCCCCCACTGACCTGTGCTTTCCCTTCTGTGGCTGCTCTTGGCTTGTGTCTCTTCCCTGCTTGTGCAGCTGGCGGCAGCACAGGCTCTGCTCCTGTGCTGTGGTGAGACCAGAGTTCTGGGGGGAACATGGAACATGAGCAGTTCCTTGTTCTGGCTGCTCAGGCGCTGACATCTCTGTCGCAGCTTTCTTGCCTGTACACTGCCCTCTCCAAAACTATCTCTGACACCACCTGCATTTCCCTGATCAGGGTTTTTAAATGAATCTTCATTCTTATTTTTGAGAGATATCAATAAAGCTAAAGATTTTATGTTGGTCTAGCATCCAGCTGTGGAGCTGTGAGGCCACCAGAATCAGAGTTCTCTTGAAGGACTGCCCTTCAAGTCCTGCCTGGACTGCCCTTTAGTGCCTATTTTTTATTGAAAGCAATAATTGATGCTTTTATGCTGGGCAGGCAGCTGCACAGTGCCCTGAGTGTGATCCCAGTGTTGTCCCTCAGGCCTTTGTACACTTGGCCCTGGTGATGTGTGTTTCCTTCATACCGCCCTGCTTGAATTTCCTGCTTCCTCCTCACTTGGCAGCAAGTGTCCTTGGATCAACACCAGTTTGCTGTGACAGCAAGTTGTGGACCGTTGTTCAAACAAGAGAACAGCAAGGAGCAGTGCTGCCTTGCCACAGCATTCAGCATCAATGAAGCACAACTGGAACAGCCTCCAGCCCTGCTGCCAGGTCTCCAGGAGGAAGCTGCAGCTTTGGCAGGGGACTCAGAATCAATTTTTGAGCGGCATCAGTTTAGAAGCTGAGAAATTGAAGGTGCTGCTGGGATGCAGTTGAAGTACTTAGGCATTTCTTAGTGTTGAGGTGGCTCAGTGGTGCTGGTTGAGGTGTGTACACAGGGAAAGGGTTCAATGAGGGTTCAGTTTTTCCCAGGGAAAATGAGATCTGGTTATCCAAAGCTGGGGTGGGTCAAACTCAAACTGGAAACGACCTGCAGATTTTGCTGAGTTAATCATTGGAGTCCTTCATCTTGGGGTGGATTGGATGGGATTTCCTGAAATCTTTGTTTAGGTTGGAGGATATTTTTGTGAGAGATGTTTTAGTTTTATTTCAGAGATAAATGAGTGACAGGTTTTTCTTGGTGGTGCTTCTATGTTGGGTTGAGCCCAGAATCTGACCCAGGGTTTGCGACCAGCCGCGCCTGGGCTTAATGGTTTCAGGTCCCATATTAAAAACTTGGATGATTTCAGTTGCTGCAAGCTAACTGTCTTCTTTCTCCTTTTGAGGTGTCAAGGGTTGTTTTTCCAGTAATTTGGACCTTTTTGAAGCACCTACTTGCCTAATGCCATGAATATTGCAGTGAATAATGAGGAAGAAAAAGCTGTCCATTCCTGGTCAAGAATTTCCTCTGCAGGACAGAAAGTTCTGGAGGAAGCCCTCCGAGTCTTCAACCCGATGTCCAAGGATCTTTCGGACACAGAGACCCAGCTGGTGGCCTTCATCCAAGGCCTGAAGGAGGAGGGCTACCAGCCCACAATTCTGAGGAGTAAGGATGTGTACGGGTACAGCTCGTGCACGGCAGTCACACCGAGTCAGACGGGAGAAAACACACAGCGCAACTGTGCCAGCACCACTGAGCCCACCCAGAGTCCAGCCAGGAACTCAGGGGCAAAAGTGGCCCCTTTGCCCACCAGCATTCCAGTGAGCTCTTTGAAAGTCTCCAAAGGGGATTCCAGAAATCTCCTCTTGAGCTCCTTGAAGCAGACAGGATCTGGCACATCCAAGGCAGCGACAGTGGGCTTCCCTACAAGCATGTATCCTGACGTGTATCCAGCTATGAGACTGTCAGTGGTTCTGGAAGCCCTGGTGCCACTGAAAACTGCAACGTCCTGTTTGGAGTCCAAGTACACACAGGGACGTCTTGGCATCTCTCCCTCAGACCTTAAACTCCTCAAGACCTCAAGTCCACCAAGGCAGTTTTCTTCAGGCAAGAGCACTAAAATAACCGAAGGCAAGGGGTACAAGCGTTTGGTTAAGAAAGCACCTGATTCTGCCACCCGTGCTTTAAAGCTTCTGAAGGGACCAAAGGGTGGAGTGCTGCAGGAGAGCAATGCCTGCAAAGCCTCCGGAGTTCTCAACGGGAGAGTCGCAGGCAGCTCGTCCCAGGACTGCACCACAGCACCACAGCCCAAGACCTTGAAAATCAAAGATAAGGAAGTTCTGCTGGGAAAAACAGAGTGGAAGGACAGCAGCACTTACCAGGAGGGCACTAGGCAGAAGAAGAGGAGAGCTACAGAGGCAAAAGAAGCACCACAGAGGAAAAAAGCAAATACCATTCCTGTCCGAAAGAAAACTCCAAAGGCTCAGAGCACTTTGAACCTGCTGAAATTCCGGACCATCAAGGTGGGCAACTCTTCCTCTGATGATGAAGTGAGGAGGAGAGCACAGAAGATTCTTAGGGTCAACTTGTCCCCTGTGATCCAAATTCAGCCCTTGTCCCATTCTCATAGTGTCCCCTGAATTTCTTCACTTTGTCACTTTTTTTTGTAAGTAAGTAAATACGAGCCTGGCACCAGAGCACAGAGAGGCTTAGGAGTGACTCTGTGTCTCTGGTGCCAATATGCCCACTAACCTGCAGACAGAGCAGCCCACTCTCATGCTGTTCCTGCCTGTCTGCCACTGCTGTGCAGAACTGGCTGCAGAAATCCAAACCCCTGTTTGGGAGTGTGAGACAGTGACTCCGGCCAGCATTGAGCTGAGCAGGCCAGAGAGTTCACTTCTCACCACGCTCCCCTGAACGTGGCAGGCTGTGCTCTTGTGCAGGGGAGAACACAGGACTTTCTCATGACATTGATGCACTGTGATATTGCTCTTTTTCAAGCTGTACATTTACTGGTTTTATTTTGATCAAATTTTATAACTTTATTATCTATATATCTATATATCCATATATGTGCATATGGCCCAGGAACTGTGGGAAGATGCACTTCCTCCATCCCTTTGGGATTGGGTTTGATAGCTTTTGTTCCTCTTTCCCTTCAGCTAGCCTTTTGTTGAAAGGTGCCAGAATTCCTTTGTGGTTCATTGTTGTGACAGTCTGTCCTGGGCTCCCTTGAGCAGCTCAGAGGCAGCAGCAGTGTAGCCACTTGTTTGTCTCCAGAATGCCAAACAATCTGGAAAATTATTACCAGCTGGTAGTTTTAATCCTGTTTTCAGTATAACCTCTGCATAACAGTGGGGGAGTGTCACAGGGCTGCAAGTCTGTCTGACATCTTTAGGCACCTCCTCCCTTTGTGGGTAACAGAAGTTTTGAACACATGGTAGGGATTTGCCTCCAAAGAGGATTCCTCCTCAGCACCCAGCATTACTCTGCTCTCCTATACCCCAGGTGCAGCTATGGGTCATGAAGTGTGACTGTTAGAGCCAAAGGGCTGGAATTGTTAGCATGAATTGTGTAGTGTCCTGCCCCCCATGTAACTGCTCTGCTGTTGCTGGGTGTTCCAGGAGCAGATCCCAGGTGCCAGTAGAGAACTGTTGGCTTTGGCTGGAGTTAAACACAACAGAAACACATGCTGTGTTTGAATGCTTTAGCTACAAACCGTCAGTCCCAGACTCAGTGGGATACTTGAGCCTGAGTTAAAGCAGAAAAGTGAAAAATTTGGGAGGACATACACCAGCACTTAAACATAGAGAGTCGCTTTCTGTGGTTTGTGGGGATGAAGTAGTAGGAGGGGAGATGGGCATCATGTTGTGGGTGACAGCCTTGCTGTGCCATCAGGGATGTTGTGAGAAGGTGTGTAGCAGGTGTGAGAGCTCTGTGTGGAAGGAGGAGTGCAGGCTCTGCCATCCCTAGGAGGCACTGCAGAACCGCTGCACACGGCTGCTGTCACCTCCCTGCACGGGGGGCACACTGTTGGATCGGAGCACGGCTCTGTGCTCTCTGCACTCCACAGGGAAGGATCTACTAATCCCAGGAGAAACACCTCGTTGGAGCAGTTAGTGCTGCTGCTGTCACCTGGAAGGGACAACCTGGTGTCCTCGGGAAAGGAAGAGGCATTGGGCTGGGTATGGGCCTGGCTCTGTATATCGCTGTCTGCTCAGATGTCTGCAGCAGTAGTGTAATCCACTCATTCTCTTACCAGCTCAAAATACCAGTTGTCTGACCTAATAATCTCTGTGGACATTGGCTGGACATTGGCTGAAGGGATGAGCTCCCCAGGGAAGTCCCAGATCCTTATATTTGAGCCCCACCCCCCAAGCACCTGGTTGGATTTCAGTGGTTTATAAAACGGGTCAGTGTCTGACCCCCAGCAAAAAAAGGACGACTGGTATGGAGAGAAGAGAGGAGGTTCATGATGGGGTGAGAAGGCAGGGAAGTTGAGTGTTCTGAGGTGCATCTGGGTTCTCTTCTCACCCACAAAGAGCAGGGTGGAGGTTCACTTTCACTAAGCAACCTGGTCTAGTGTAAAGTGTCCCTGCCCATGGCAGGTTGGTTGGAACAAGATGATCTTTAAGATCCCTTCCAATCCAAGCCCTTCTGTGATTTTATGATTCCGGGAATGATTGCAAGCCCTGAACCCCACACTTGGGTTCTGAGTTGCTGCCAGAGATCATAACTTGCAGTGTTTGAGACTGACCTGTGAATGCCACTGCTTGGCTGCCAAGGAGGAGGAAATATTTTCTTCTGCTTCTGTGTTTTAAAATGCCCTGGCAGAGAGTTCCCTGTCCTGACCTGGTGCTGGATGAACAGGGGCTCTCCATCACTGTCAACTGGCCAAAAATTGCTTTGTTCCTTTTGTTCCCACTCCTTCAGACCTTTCTCATTCCCACGCTCTCAAATGCCAGGTCTTGAAGTCCTGCACTGGTGTTTCTCTTTTGGGCTGTTTCCCGAGGAGGGCTCTGAACTCCTGCCTGTGGTATTGCTGTCAGGCTGCTCAGCAGCTTCCCCTGTTCCCAGACCCTTATAAGGGAACTGAGAGCTGTCTTTGGAGTCTCCTTATGCAGCACAGGCGTCCCAGCTGAGCACTTGGCCTCCGCTGGGAAAAACAATGTGCATCAACAAGGCTGAATCCAGGTCGAAGCCTCTTTTCCTCCAGCCTCAGTGGGAAGCTGAGCATCTGAGGCCAACTTACCAGGGCACATCCCTCCTCATCACTGTGTGTCTTCTCTCAGCTGTACTGCTGCCTGCCTCTTCACTCTTTTCTATCACCTCTTGTCTTTCACAGCTTGGGTCTCTGCCAGTCAAGGACTTGACTTGTATTGTTGCTTAACACATCCAGCACAGCATCCAGCCTTTGTGCTGCCGTGCCTTTCCCAGCACTGAGCTGAGTTCTGTGCGTGCTTGGTGTGACAGTTTGCCCTGTGTCCTTCCAGGCCACCAGCAAAAGGTGTTCTGCTCCACAGGGAGAGACAAGCTTTGGAAACACCTCTGCGTCACTGAGACTGCTGCCAGGGAAGTGAGCACTCCATAGCTGTGTGCTCAGGGACTTGCTCATCACCAGTCCCCTCTCTCTCAGCACTCCTGTGCGTCTCTCACAGACCACAGGGCCCTGAGCAACAGGGCAGTGCTGAACCTCCATTCCCTGCTCTCCTGTTGTCTCTTCCTCCTCTTGCAGGTGCTTTGGGAACTTGACTGAAAGGGTTGCAGGTTGTTGTAGAGAGGGGCTTTACAGCCTCTATGCCAATGCCAGCAAGTGCTGCCCTGGTACCAGCCAGCACTGGCAGAGAGGGTGCCTCAGTCTGGTGCAGGTTGGCTCCCCCATCCTTCAGCTCATGCCCAGGTGTGGATGCTCCTGGTGCCCTGGGCATGTAACACTGATGTGCACGAGGCTGCAGAGGGGCTCTGTGTGGATGTTGCTCTCTGCTGTTTAGGGTAGATGAAGGGTTTGATCAAACCAGAGCTACCTAAGACCTGATCTAGCCAGAGGTCTCCTCCACAGGTCCCTTCCATCCTGTGTTATTCTGTGGCAGCTGAGTAACACTTCCAGGGACCTGTGCAACAGTAACTGGCAGGCACAGAGAAAATGCATTGCCCAGAGCGCTGTGGTCTCTGCTGAGCATGTGGTATGCACCTTGTTCAGACCTGTTTCTGTATTAGTCACTTTGAATTCATCCAAGTGCCTAACCTGGCCTGTGTTGTTCTGGGCACTGTGACAGCAGAGAGCTTTGGAGACTCTCTTAGGAATGCTTTTAACGCATGGATTTGTGCCACTGTCACTTCTAGAAACGATTCGGCTAGCGGTCAAAGGGCTGTTCTTCCAACTGATTTTTTGGAAATAATTTCTCCTTTTATTCAGCTGCCAAGAAGCAGTTTATGCTTCCTCTCCACCAGACAAGGTCCTTGAGCTCCCTGCATGCTTCAGATGTCCGTCAGTAAGGTCCGTGGGGAGAGCAGCTTGTCCGGCAGGCAGCTGAAGGGGAAGCTGACATCAGATACCAGTTGAAATCACAATGTTAATTGGTAGAAATGTTCTGAAGCTCATGTCCACTGTGATCAGATTTCACCATCTGCCACTGCTTATGGTTATAGAAGTTTCTCCTCACCTTCTTCCCTGCAAGCCATGTAGCGTATTGCTGCTGCTGCTTCTAAACTATTTGCATCCCCCATGAGCCAGCTGCTGTAGCAATCCTTGTACAGAATTTCTTAAGCACTTTTTTTGCAAAAAAGAGAAGGGATTATTTTGTTACTCCTGCTTGGCAGCCCACAAGTGGTATTTCAGTGTGTGGAGGAGGTGTGCTCCCTGGAGTGCTCACCCCACTGGGCAGCTCTCAGACCAGTTCATACTACCAGGGCTGGGGTTCGTGGGCTGAGATCCCCCCTGTGCCTGGTGCTTCCTTGCATGGAGTTCAGCCAATTGCCAGCTAAGAACATGCCAGGGCAGTTGGCATCAGCACCGCACAGATGGGTGATGCTGCACATGTGGCTCCATGGTCCTGCTCCACAGCTGCCCTTGGTTTGTGTCCTGTCCTCCTGGCCCCCAGTACACCAGGAGCATTTCTCACCCCAGCTCCAGCTGTGGCAAGAGGGGCTGGGAGGCTCTGGGTTTTGGAATTGAGCACAGAGTTTGTGCCCTTTAAATTGTGACTTGTGCCGTGTTCATGGCCAGAACTCGCCAGCATGTGGGGGGTTCAGCCAGCCCAGCAGTTCTTCCCCTTTGGATCCAAGTTCCCTGCCCTGTCTAGAAGCTGGGCCTTTGGCCATGGCCCAAGGGATCCCTGGGTATGGAGAACAGGTTTGTCTCTCAGCTCCAGCTGGGCAGTGTGACTCGAGCTGGGCAGCTTCCCAGGCAGGAAGGCAGGTTTTGGTGGGAGGATCCTTTTTTTGTCTGTGGTTGAGAGGGTTGGTGCTGAGCTGTGGAGCATCAGCTGCTCAGCCAGGCTGGTTGGTTTTTGTGGAAGTGATA